CCTGTTTTAAGTCACCTCTTAGCACCAATTCTGAGGTTTTTTTCCCCTGGGACTCATGCTTTATGTCCAGATCATCCTGGACGATACTGAGGAGACCCAGGCGCCTTCAAGCCAGTTCTTTTGGCACCAGAGGAAGATCCTGAATCTTCAAAACATAGGCCATCTGAACTGGGGTTGTGGTTTGCTCCGGCATTCACAGCCATTGAGGAAAGAGGAAACTTGGTGAGGCTTCTCAGCTTCAAACCCCTTGGACCCAGGACTAATTGAGACTGTATGTATGTTTTCCTTCACCCCTCTAAAGTTTTCCAGCTCATTGCTTTGAAGAAATGACTTTGTAAATAAAACTTGTTTTGAGTTATTTACATCGTTTTGGGTTCTTGGGAGTTCCAGTTTCTAAAGGAGGGCAAGAAGCAATCCCTTGGGGGAAAGATGCCACGTCCATCCTCCTTCAAAGACTAATAGCCCCCAAGCGCGACGGCACACCAATTGTTTATTCTACTAATTACAATTTCAAGATGACATCACATAGTGCAACCAGTCAAAAGCCACCTCACCCTCCTTCATGAAGTTTTGTTCACACAATTTGCCCTTTCCTCCAAAAGTCATACACTGAAATACAACCACCTGAGCTCTGCGAGTGCAGCATTTTTCCAAATGAAGCAGAGTGTTTGAGGACGGGGACATCCATAGGGAGACCAAGATGCTTGTTTATAAAGCTATTGTCCTCCCAACCCTGCTATACGCCTGTGAGACGTGGACTGTCTACAGATGTCACATGCAACTCCATTTCCGCTACCTTGGCAGCCACCTCTCCACAAAAGTCAACACTGACACTGAAATACAATACCGCATGAGCTCTGCGAGTGCAGCTTTTCCCCGAATGAAGCACAGAGTGTTTGAGGACTGGGACATCCATAGGGAGACCAAGGTGCTTGTTTATAAAGCTATTGTCCTTCCAACCCTGCTATACGCCTGCGAGATGTGGACAGTCTACAGACGTCACATGCAACTCCTGGAACGTTTTCATCAGCGTTGCCTCCAAAAAATCCTGCAAATCGCTTGGGAAGACAAGTGGACAAACATCAGGTGCAGGAAGAAGCAAAGACCACCAGCATTAAAGCGATGGTCCTCCGCCATCAACTCCGATGGACTGGCCATGTTGTCCGGATGCTCGACCACCGTCTCCCAAAGCAGTTGCTCTACTCCGAACTCTAGAACAGAAAATGGAATATCGAAGGACAGGAAAAGAGATTTAAAGATGGGCTCAAAGACAACCTTAAAAACTCTGGCATTTATTATTATTATTATTATTATTATTATTATTATTATTATTATTGTTGTTGTTATTAACTTTATTTGTACCCCGCTAACATCTCCCGAAGGACTCGATGCGGCTTACAAAGGCCAAGGCCTCAATAAAACAACAATACAACAATACACATAAACCATAAAGCAAATCAAAACATTAAAGCAATAACAGTAAACAGTAAAAACAGTACACCATAGCACAATAAAACTAAGGCTGGGCCAAGTGTAAATGGGTACAGATTAAAAGTGCTGAGTATGACAGTTGAAATATAAGGATTTTTGGGTAAGTACAATGTGCGGACAATCTTAAGTCTCTAGTAAAGTGCTTCTGGGACATATTGCTGGGGTTTCCTATTCTGGAAAGGCACACCGGAATAGCCAATTCTTCAAGCTCTTCCTAAAGACTGCCAATGTAGAGGCCTGTCTGATGTCCTTGGGGAGAGCGTTCCAGAGTCGGGGAGCTACCACAGAGAAGGCCCTGTCCCTCGTCCCCACCAACTGCGCTTGCGACGCAGGTGGAATCGTGAGCAGGGAGAGTTCATAAACGGAGATGCGGTCACGCAGGTAGGCAGGTCCCAAACCGTTTAGGGCTTTGTAGGTGAGCACCTGCACCTTGAATTGGGACCGGAGATACTGAGAACTGGGAAGCCCTGGCCCTTGAGCTCTCCAGCTGGAAGTCAGCTGTGACCAACAGTGCTGTAGAATTTGAAGTGGCACGAATGGAGGGTGAAAGAGAGAAATGTGCCAAGAGGAAGGCGCGTCAAGCCAACCCCGACTGGGACCGCCTTCCACCTGGAAACCAATGCCTTCACTGTGAGAGAAGATGCAGGTCAAGAATAGGGCTCCACAGTCACCTACGGACCCACCGCCAGTACATCGATCTTGGAAGACAATCCTACTTGGACAACGAGGGATCGCCTAAGTAAGTAACATTCCCCTAGGATGCTGTAACCTAATAAGATTCTTAAACCATGCATTCTGTAACTATCAGAATTGAAACTTCAGAATGGCATTTCCATACAATGGCCTCTTCTTCCTCCTAGGTTCTGTTGGAGCACAGTGTAATAACCAGGGTCGATGCCACTGCAAATCTGGTGTGAGAGGTGATAAATGTGACCGATGCCAGCACAATTTCCATTCCTTCTCAGAGGCTGGCTGCTTACCTGCCGGGCAGACACAGTAAGTGGAGCTCTTAGATGCTGGAGGATTATGTGTTTGTAAATTCTCAATTAAAAAACAATCCTGTTCTTAGGAAACAACATTATAGGTTTTCTGAACATCATAGTGGCTATTTTAGACATTTGCTCAGATTTGTTGTGGAGTGTTTACGTGGAGTCTGCAGAAGATTCTTCGGCTATACTCCACAAAAAGCAAAATCAGCCTGTTTAGCACAACTTGCAAATGTTGATTTGTTGTCAGTAAATGTTTGATTTTTATATCTATTTTATATATACCTATAAACTTGGGGTCACATAAAATGTCTTGCTCTAAACCAGGGGCCCTCAAACTTTTTAAACAGAGGGCCAGGTCACCGTCCCTCAAACTGTTGGAGGGCCGGATTATAATTTGAAACAAACATGAATGAATTCCTATGCACACTGCACATATCTTATTTGTAGTGCAAAAAACAATACGATAATTAAAATGAAGAACTATTTTAACAAATATAAACTTATTAGTATTTTAGTGGGAAGTGTGGGCCTGCTTTTGGCTGATGAGATAGGATTATTGTTGTTGTGTGCTTTCAAGTCATTTCAGACTTACTGTATATACTCGAGTATAAGCCGAGTCACCTAATTTTATCACAAAAAACTGGGAAAACGTATTGACTTGAGTATAAGCCGAGGATGGGTGAAGCGAAATTGCTACTCTATGTTAAATTTTTGGTGTATAGCTCTATGTTTACATATGGCAGATAGGGAAGAATAGGCACAGACAGGGTAGCAACAGCAGAGAGTGGATTCATTTGCATATGGAAGCCGATTGGTCATATGCTGATTAGCATAGGCTCAGGATTTGAAAAGGTTGCTAGGCCAAAATGACAGTTGGAGAGAGAAGAGTTGCACGTTCCAAAGGGGCGGAACCAAAGTTTAAAAAATAGGCAGTTAGGGAGTCAAAAGAGTTAGTTAGGAATTGCTGTTTGTGAGGAGAGTTAGGGATTCCTGTTTGTGAGAGACAGTTAGGAACTTCTGTGAGAGAAAAGAGTTAGGAACTCTTGTTAGAAATAAGCAGTTATGAAGATGTGTTAAAGACTACTGATATAGAGAAACAGTTAGTTAAATAGAGCTCAAGTTTTAGGAACATAAAGAAAGCCAGTGGTGCCTTATAATTTCAGTCAAGAGTGTGTAAAGCAAGTAACATGGTTGTGAATGTGAAACATTGAAAGTCTATTTCAGAAAAGTAAACCAAGTATATTATACTGACTCTAAGCCTCAAGCCTGCAACAAAACAAAAATGTAACCACAAGCGTTGGAGCAAGAAGTCATAAATAAACTGAGTTACTTTGTTATACAGAAGTGTGTATCATTGCCTGTACAAAGGTTAAACAGCACACAGAAAGTCCCAGTTAATATAAAAGAAGAAACTGAATCATTATAAGAGTAAAGAGTTTTTTCTTAAATAAAGAAATAGTCTCCCTCCCTCGCTACAATGGGAAATGCAGCATCTACTAGTAAATTTCAAAATAAAAATAGATACCAATAAAACTACATTAATTAAGGCATCAGTAGATTAAATATTTACATAAAACTGTAATTTAAGATAAGACTGCCCATTATTCTAACCTTCTTCAGTGTAAATGTGCTTATGTCTCCTTCCAATAATAATAAAGAGAGTAAAATAATAAATGTAATAATAATAATAATAATAATAATGGAGTAAAATAATGGAAATGTAATAATACCAGTAATATCGTAAAATAATAAATGTAATAACAATAATAAATAGAGTAAAATAATAAATGTAATAATAATAATAGAGTAGAATAATAAATGTAATAATAATATAGTAAAATTATATATCTAATAAAAATAATAACAGAGGAAAATAATAAATAACCTTGACTCGAGTATCAGCTGAGGGGGACTTTTTCAGCCTAAAAAAGGGGCTGAAAAACTAAGCTTATACTCGAGTATATACAGTAGGTTGACCCTGAGCGAGGGCCAGGTAAATGACCTTGGAGGGCTGTATCTGGCCCCCGGGCCTTAGTTTGAGGACCCCTGCTCTAAACAATTTAGCTAGGTAAATGTTCATAATGCTCTCAAGGCATATCACTAGCTGGCTAGAGAGGAGTAAAATATGGTAACACAACCCACACAGCATTCTCTGGAAGTGCAATGTTCTGGGCAGCAGCCTGTTCTGTTAACAATAATAATAACTTTATTTTTATATCCCGCCTCCATCTCCCTGAAGAGAGTCGAGGCGGCTTACAGAGGGACATGCCCAGCAATTATGAACCATCTAGGACTTTAAGATCATCCGGGGAGGCCCTGCTCTCGATCCCGCCTTCATCATAAGTATGTTTAGCAAGGACGAGAGACAGGGCCTTCTCTGTGGTGGCCCCTCAGCTATGAAACACCTTCCCTAAGGAGATTAGATAGGCTCCCTCACTCTTAACATTTCGGAGACAAGTTAAGACATGGTTATGTGAGCAAGCATTTACAAATGCAGAGTAACTGATATAGGAAATGGAATTACTGACAATGGAATTTGAACAACGTTTTTAACTAGGAGATGCTGATGATAATGATGTTGGTTTTATTGTTTCAATTGTGGTTTTATATTGTTTTAATGCTTACCATATTTTCTGGTGTATAAGACTACTTTTTAACCCAAGAAAATATTCTCAGTAGTCAGGGGTCATCTTATACGCAGGAGTCGTCTTATACACAGGAGTCGTCTTATTCGCTGGAGTAGCCTTATGCATGGGAGTCATCTTATATGCGGGAGTAGTCTTATACACCGGGAGTCATCTTATAGAGCGGGTGCTGAAACTTCCAATCCGGATTGGAGAATCTGTGGTTGCTACATATTGTGAGGGGGGCTCAAAAATGGCAGTGGCTACGTCCCTGACGTATGCTGCGGCTGTATGAAAGCATTAAAGGCGACACTGCACAAGTATGGTAGAAGAAAATCCATTCATCAGGATTCGTGGACTTAATGCGGTCCCGATGGTGAGGTGAAGGGGAGCCTCACCGGGAAGGTGAAAGTGAAGGGCAGAGAAAGCGGCAAGCGTCCGGGGTGGGAAAAAGGGATAGAGTGTCTCTGGGCCCAGACAAACACACCCCCTTTACCTGTCTGGCCCGCCCTTGTATCTTATTACTGTACCTCCTCCTCTGCCTCTCAGATCTCGCTCCTGAAGAATGCAGTGAAGCAGTGGAGGTGTGCATGTGTGAGATCTGAGAGGCAGAGAAGGAGGTACAGTGATAGGAAAATGACCATATTGAAATCAAATCTGTTGCTTTAAAAAAATTGAATTTGGTGTGTGTTGGAAGAGGGGTAGTCTTATACGGCGAGTATATCCCAAACTCTATATTTTAACTGGAAAAGTTGGGGGTCGTCTTATACACCCAGTCGTCTTATATACCAGAATATACGGTAATTTGTATTTTGCTATTATGTGTACTGACTTGTAAACTGCCTTGAGTTGCCAATAGGCTGAGAAAGGCAGTATACAAGTATAGTAAATACATAAATAGTAAATAAATAAATTACAGATTAAAACAAACACAGAGATACAGTAAACAGCCAAAAACAATAAAATATCAAATCAGACAACATCATAAAGCAATGTCATGGCTCAACAACAAAAAGTGGGTAGAGCAGTGGTTCTCAACCTGGGGTCCCCAGATGTTTTTGGCCTTCAACTCCCAGAAATCCTAACAGCTGGTAAACTAGCTGGGATTTCTGGGAGTTGTAGGCCAAAAACATCTGGGGACCCCAGGTTGAGAACCACTGGGGTAGAGGCTCATGATTCCTAAATGCAATTATTCCTATGTAGGCCCAAGTGCAGGTGCGGCAAAACGGATGGCTGGGTTAGGAGGCGAATGCCCTTACATTATTAAAGTGTTAGAAGTTAAGTGAATTTAGGTTAAGTGAATTTAAGTAAAGTGCTCTCGGTCCCGTCTTCTTCACAGATTTGGTTGACAGGAACGAGAGATAGGGCCTTCTCAGTAGTGGCCCCTTGGCTGTGGAACACCCTCCCTAGGGACATTAGATCGGCCCCCACACTCTTAATCTATATAAATAAAAATGTAATGTTCGTTTGTGGGATTAACAGAACTCAAAAACCACTGGACGAATTGACACCAAATTTGGACACAAGACATCTAACAACCCAATGTATGTCCTTCACTCAAAAAAAAATTGATTATGTCATTTGGGAGTTGTAGTTGCTCGGATTTATAGTTCACCTACAATCACAGAGCATTCTGAACCCTACCAATGATGGAATTGAACCAAACTTGGCACACAGTTTTCCCATGACCAACAGAAAATACTGGAAGGGTTTGGTGAGCAGTGTTCTTTGGTTTTGGAGTTGTAGTTCACCTACATCCAGAGATCACTGTGGACTCAAACAATGATAGATCTGGACCAAACTCTACACGAATACTCAATATGCCCAAATGTGAACACTGGTAGAGTTTGGGGAAAATAGAATCTTGACATTTGGGAGTTGTAGTTGCTGGAATTTATAGTTCACCTACAATCACAAAGCATTCTGAACCCCACCAACGATAGAATTGGGCCAAACCTCCCACACAGAACCCCCATGTTGGCCACAGCAACGCCTGGCAGGGAACGGCTAGTATTTCTTAAAAAAAGTCAAAACCTGGCTTTGTGAGCAGGCTTTCTCAAATGTAGTTTAGCATATAACTTCTTGACCTCGGAACGACTGGACAGTTGTGATCGGATAATGATTTTGGTATTGAGATGCAGAGGATTTATGCTTTTATTGATTTTACTGTTTATGGAATTTTATGTATGTTATATGCTTTTAGCTGTTTTTATATTATTGTGGCATCGAATTGTGCCATTTTGTAAATCGCCCTGAGTTGCCCTCAAGTTGAGAAGGACAGTATAGAAATAGAGTAAATAAAATAAATAAAATAAATAATTAGTGGTTATCTTTAGCCATTTTTTGAGTATACAATACCAACATATCACTAAGTTGTCTCAAAGGGGAGGGGGGGGGGGGAACCCGTAGCATCACCTGTTTCTTTCTTTATTGAATTGCATACATGTTTCCATGTTGAGTATAAAGCTTAATTTGAACATTTTCATTGTTTGTCATAGGATTTCCCGCTGTAATTGTGATCCAGATGGAAGCACAGGGGAATGCGTGTCAGGACGCTGCATTTGCAAAACAGCAGTTACAGGAGATCAATGCAACAGGTACCTGTATAAAATTCTATATGGTGAAAGAATTGTTTAAAGATGCCATCATCAAAGAATTCATTTAGTGAGCTGTAGGGGTTTTTTTTTTTGCTTTCAAACAGCATAATTTCTTTCTGACTTGTCATTCATCAGGACAATGTGAGTCACATTAAGTGTGCAAGGATAGAATTATGAATGTGATGCCAAAATATCTGTTTCCACTGAGTAAAATTTGGGATGTTGTAGGCTTTCCGGGCTATATGGCCATGGTCTAGAGGCATTCTCTCCTGACGTTTCGCCTGCATCTATGGCAAGCATCCTCAGACGTAGTGAGGTCTGTTGGAACTAGGAAAAAGGGTTTATATATCTGTGGAATGACCAGGGTGAGACAAAGGCTCTTGTCTGCTGGAGCTAGGTGTGAATGTTTCAACTGACCACCTTGATTAGCATACAATGGCCTGACAGTGCCTGGAGCAAACTTTTGTTGAGAAGTGATTAGATGTCCTTGTTTGTTTCCTCTCTGTTGTTGTGCTGTTGTAATTTTGGAGTTTTTTTAAATACTGGTAGCCAGATTTTGTTCATTTTCATGGTTTCCTCCTTTCTGTTGAAATTGACCACATGCTTGTGTATTTCAATGGCTTCTCTGTGTAGTCTGACATGGTGGTTGTGAGAGTGGTCCAGCATTTCTGTGTTCTCAAATAAAATGTTGCGTCCAGGTTGGTTCATCAGGTGCTGTGGACAATTTCAACAGAAAGGAGGAAACCATGAAAATGAACAAAATCTGTCTACCAGTATTCAAAAACTCTAAAATTACAACAGCACAACAACAGAGAGGAAACAAACAAGGACATCTAATCACCTCTCAACAAAAGTTTGCTCAGGCACTGTCAGGCCATTATATGCTAATCAAGGTGGTCAGTTGAAACAATCACACCTAGCTCCAGCAGACAAGAGTCCTTTGTCTCACCCTGGTCATTCCACAGATATATAAACCCTTTTTCCTAGTTCCAGTTTCCTAGTTTTAGTCGATCTCCCCTTGACACATTCTAGTTGGTGCAGAGTTACACAGAGTTACACAGTGCAAGGATGCTCATTGTATCGATTCTTAGGACCTCATCACATGGACTTTGAGAAGCATGAGGGACTGTCCATCTAGCGAAGGGAAACATACTAAGCTGTCACCTATTCAGAATGGTGATCCAGATTATGTAGTGATGGATGACTTTAGTTTAATCACCTGGTGGAAATAGATTCTCAAGTTAGGTATTCCATTGTCCTTTCAAATATGTGTTGCGATTGAGGTATCTGGAATGGTAATGAGATATGTCATGATCACCACCTTTTGTTGTATATATGAGCTCACAAGAAAGCAACCACATGATGTATTGATTTTTGCCTCTCACACAGTTGCAAGCAGGGCTATTATAACCTCGATGCAGGAAATCCAGAAGGCTGCTCTCAATGCTTCTGTTCTGGACACTCAACTACATGTACTAGTGCAAAAAACTATAGCGTGCATAAGATTGCCTCTTCTTTCCAACAAGGTAAGAATGTCACTGTCATCTGCATTTTCTTTTGCATGAACAATATTTTAGGTGTTGCACTGAATTTGTTGCAATTCCAGTTACCAATAACAAACATCATAAGCTTGTATAATAGAATGACTAGTTAGATTGACCATATAGTGTCCAACTTTCCTTTGGTGAGAATGTGTGTCTTTTTAAAATCTAGATTTCATGTTATGGCTACTATTGGTAGATCAGATGGCAATCTTTGATCTCTCTGCTATTTGCCACTGAGAAACCTGCTCTGACAAGTAACTGATAACAATGTTTTTTTTTAAAAAAAATAAATAAATCACAATTTCATTGAAATTGCTGCTCAAGGTCACCTGCAGCTGCCATCAACATACCCATTTTGACAGATAACTAGCAGAAAAAAGAGACAGGGCCTTCTCAGCGGTGGCCCCTCAGTATGGAACACCCTGCCTAGGGAGATCAGATCTGCTCCCTCACTCTTAATGTTTCGTAGGCAAGTAAAAACATGGCTGTTCAAGCAAGCGTTCACAAATGCAGAGTAGCTATTATAGGAAATCGAATGATTTGACAATGGAACTGGACAAAGCTTGATAATAAGGAGACACAAATGACGTTGTTTTTATTGCTCTTGTGGTGTTTTATACTGTTTAATGTCTTAATTTATACTATGTTTTATGTGTGCTGATTTGTTGGAAACCGCCTTGAGTTACCGATTGGCTGAGAAAGGCGGTATACGAATAAATAAATAATAGTTGTTTCACATTAGGATCAACACAATCTAAAATGGCATGCTGCTGATTGTAATGTTTATTTATTATTTAAATCTGTGTTGTCATCCCCTCCAATAAGTTTAAGACCATATATGGGCCTTTCTCCTTTACAAGGAAATTAAAAATGTGGATGTGGGACCAGGCCTTTGCAGACTTGACGAGGACAGTTGTGAGAGCCGTTCAGCAGTGGAACTCTCTGCCCCAGAGTGTGGTGGAGGCTCCTTCTTTGGAAGCTTTTAAGCAGAGGCTGGATGGCCATCTGTCAGGGGTGATTTGAATGCAATATTCCTGCTTCTTGGCAGGGGGTTGGACTGGATGGCCCATGAGGTCTCTTCCAGCTCTTTGATTCTATGATTCTATGATTCTAATGACGACAATAGTTATGGAAACAGATTATTTGACAAGCTGAATGGAATCTCTACAGCCACCAGACTGGCTTTCTTTTCTAGTAGATTTTATTGTATTAATGTTTTTAACTATTTATAATTACTGTTTTTGTTGTGCATTTTATTGTGTTGAATTGTAGGCATCGAATATGTGCTGGCTAGAAGCCACCCTGAGTCCTCCCCCCAGGGGGTTGAGAAGGGTGGGCTATAAATATCCGAAATAAATATATAAATAAATTTCTGCTCCCCACTTTATTCCTACAACATCTAAGTTAGGTCACACTGTCATCCAGTAGGTTTCATGCCTTGTTGGGAACCTGGACCTAGAATTCCGAATTCCTAACCCAGCTTTCTAACCACTGCATCCCACTGGAAGGTCATCTAGCCCCACATCCACAGGATTACTTGGTCATTAAATGTAGGAATGTGGCTGTTTGCCATGCATCATTCTTTCTTCATATGCAGTTTTCTTCTATCTACGTAAGATAAGAAGTGTCACAGTCACGTTTCCTGAGTCAGTGAATGTCAATTTGATATCCAAGCTTTTTCAATAAACTGTGATTTTCTTGTATTACAGGAGATGAAGGCTGGCAAGCTCATGGAAATGGGTCCCCTTTTCAGCTCCATTGGTCTCCCTACCATAAGGAAGTTTATGTGGCAAAAAGAAGATCAGGTCCTATCTATTTTGTGGCGCCAGGTATGTATATTCATACTCTACAGAAGGGTGGCAATACAGAGGACGATCTGATAGTCTATTTGTATCCTTAATCTATTCTAATATTATCACAACATGATCTTCAATAATTAGTTCAACTCTCAAAATCAGTAGGACTGGAAATGAAATTGAAGAAAATGAAATGGATTTTAAATGGGCAGTGTGTCCAGGGCTGCATCTTTATAAATAGAGATGAAACTGAAGAAGATGTGTGTGTGTGTGTGTGTATGTAATGTTAATTTGTGGGATTAACATAACTCAAAAACCACTGGACAAATTGACACCAAATTTGGACACAGTACACCTATCAGGTCAACAAGTTACCATCACTCATAAAAACACAGCAGAATTTATTTATTTACTTTATTTATATACCGCTTTTCTCAGCCCTCAGGTGACTCAAAGTGGTGAACATCATCGATACAAAACATCACGAGACAAGTATAGGGCAATTAAAAACAATTGTAGCATAAATCATTAACATCCGTATAACAATCATTAGCGCCTCAACAGTAAAATCAGAATCCAGTCTCATCATCCATTATTCCATCCCTATGTTCAATTACACTGTTTAATCAAATGCTTGTTCGAACAGCCAGGTCTTCACTTTCCTCCGAAATGTCAGCAGGGAGGGGGCTGATCTGATATCTGCAGGCAGGGCGTTCCACAGCCGAGGGGCCACCACTGAGAAGGCCCTGTCTCTCGTCCCCGCCAAGTGCGCCTGTGATGCAGGCGGGACAGAGAGCATGGCCTCCCCTGATGATCTTAGTGTCCTAGTCGGTTCATAGGAGGAGATGCGTTCGGAGAGGTAAGTAGGGCCAAAACCGTTTAGGGCTTTTTAGGCTAACGCCAGCACTTTGAATTGTGCCTGGTAGCAAACTGGCAGCCAGTGGAGCTTATTACAGTATATTGCTTTAAGCCCAGTGTGTGTGTGTGTTAAAGAAAGCCTAAACAGAAAAGCCATGCAAAGTATTAATGATTAACTGCAGCTGCAGAATGCTAGCTAGGCCACACCTTTTAAATGTAACAATTTGAGGCTTGTGCAGACGGCTGGCAGTTGGAAGTTTGAATTGCTGGAGAGAAGAAGCAAGAAGATTATGCTATGGTGAAGTAACCATGTTTTATTTTGTTATGCTCTATGATTTATGACACAGAAGATTTATTCTGTATTACTTACAGAGACTATGTAAGTGTTCCTGTTTTATTTTTAACTCTGCAATCAAGAGTAAAGTTCTACTGGTTTATTTCTTCTGACTGGTCTGTGTCTTTGGCATTGGGTTTATTTTTGGGCATATTGGACATTGCTACTGCGCAACAAATTGACTCAGCGCAACAGAGCTTGCGCAACAGAGGAGTAGTATGCTCCCTGAGTGCTGCTCCTGTTAGCAACCTGGCTGCTGAACGCTGGACCATTTGAAGCTTCCGAGCAGTCTTCAAAGGAAACTTTAAAAGCCAAAAAACAAAAAATACATTACAACACATGTGCAAAACCACATATATACACATATATACCCACATATATAAGTATATACACACACAAGACACATATACACAGACTGGGCCACAGCAATGCATGGCAGGGGATGGCTAGTGTGTGTGTGTGTGTGACAGCAAGTACAATCGAATAAACTGAAAAATGGAAAATGGGTAAGAAGACATAAGGCTACTTGGACAGCTTTTAATCAAAACTGGACAATGCTAACAGATGATAAGCTGCCAACACTACAGTTTTACTGGCAATGTTATACGCATCAGAAACATGGGCAACAACAAAGTTAGAGGAGGAAAAACTGGCGGTGACTCAGAGAGCAATGGAAAGAAGGATGTGTGGCATGACAATAAGAGATAAAGTCAGCAGTAAAGAGCTGCATCAAAGAACTGGAGTACATGACGTGGTCAATGAAATCTGTGAGGCAAAAAGAAGATGGGCAGGACATATAGCACAAACAAAAGACAACCAATGGACATGCTGACTAGCAAATTGGATACCAGACCTGTGGGCAGACCTCTTACTCGATGGGATGAACCAAAAATGGAAAAGAAAAGCACACAATCGTATATTTTGGCAAAGTCCAAAGAAGTGGATCAATGACAAATTGGATAGAATAGAATTATCACATGCTTCTAGCTTTTCAGAAATTCATGGCCCAGGATGTAGCCTCATTGGCCAAATTTACTTGCAGACCAAAGGTTCCCTGCTTGGATTTCAAACAGTAATATTTCCATATCCAGAAATCCCATGACCCTAAAATCGTATCCTTTGTATGCAAAGTATGTTTTTCCCACTCAATTCTGCCCTCTTTGCCGGATTCAGATGTAGAATCGTGAAAGGTAGGTTAGGCCAGGATCTGTAGGCATGCTAAAAATGAACTGAAATTAAGTTTGGAAGATCTTGAATTTCATATGAACTGCTTTGGATGATCTTTTTGGCTATGACTATTTCTTTTGTCCAGATTTTGGGGATCTGACAGAATGCAGTGCAGTTGTTCATCAGCTCCAGCAGCCAGCACCTTGCTTTTGGACCAAAGTTAGATGGACCAAACAGTAAATGTGGCTCTTAATGAGACATGCTGCATTATCACGGGGTGTCTGCGCCCAACAACACTGGAGAAATTACACTGTTTAGCCGGTATTGCACCACCTGACATCCGCAGGGAAGTAGCAGCCAATAGTGAAAGGACCAAGGCAGCTCATCCCCTGTTTGGGTATCAGCCAGCACGTCAATGACTTAAATCAAGAAATAGTTTTCTAAGATGGTCAGAGACACTCGCAGGAACACCCCAGCAAGCGAGAGTCCAAAAGTGGCAGGCTAAAACCCAGAACCTCAATCAATGGCTGATACCAAATGAGAGACTCCCTCCTGGGCACACAGAAAACTGGGCAACTTGGAAGGCGCTGAACAGACTGCACTCTGGCACCACGAGATGCAGAGCCAACCTTAAGAAATGGGGCTACCAAGTGGAGAAGTGTGGAGAAGAGCAAACCACAGACCACCTGCTGCAATGCATCCTGAGCCCTGCCACATGCACAATGGAGGACCTTCTTGCAGCAACACCAGAAGCACTCCAAGTGGCCAGCTACTGGTCAAAGGACATTTAATCAACTACCAAGCTTGCAAACGTTGTGTTTTGTTTGTTTGTTTGTTAAAAAATGTAATACAACTATTTGGTTTGCTCCTGACACAATAAATAAATCTTTTTGGCTGAACAGTGGGAGAAGAATGTCAGTGGGATATATGCCATTGATAATATTATGTAACATAGGTTTGTTCTTGGGATATAAATGTGATTTCTTAATTGGCTCTATCATTAAAACATGGAAAAAGTTCATCAAACAGCAAAAACGTCATTTTTGCGGGACACCCTACAGCATATTTCATTATAGTTTTTTAATTAGTATCTCATAGAATCTCAACCAATTCAATATGGTGTGTGGCAGCAACAAAAAAAAAATCTGGAGTATAGCATCTACTTTCAAAGTAAGTACTGCACAATTAAACAGGGAATAACATTTTCAAACTAGGAACAGATTATTTTAATGTTACATAGTGTAATGATACTAGTAGCGTTCCTTGAAATCTTTTCTGCCAGAACATTGTCACATATATAACATGGACTCTATCAAATTAATCTTGCCAGTAGCACATTTTTGTTGTCAGTGCCATTTTGAACTGTCATTTATTTTGTATTTTCTTTGTAGACAAGTTCCTTGGAAACCAGCAGCTGAGTTATGGGCAGACAGTGTCTTTTGATTATCGCGTGAACCGACCTGGACATCACCCTTCTCACCATGATGTTGTCTTGGAAGGAGCTGGTTTTAAAATCAGCACTCCTCTTGCACCCCATGGAAAGGTGCTGTCTTGTAGAGCCAGCAAGACATACACATTCAGGTAAATTGCTTAGGACACCAGGAAACATTCGTCTGTATAACACAGTGAATCAGTTGTCATGGGTAGGTACACACATTGATGGCTGACCCTTGACAATTCCTGTACTAAGTGGTATACTAGGCATGGTTAGGGTCAGTCGGAATTGTCGTAATTTGGAATAAATTCGGAAATATTTGCTTTTTGGAATGATTTTGACATTTTTAAGGAAACACAAAGTCCCTTTGCCCTTCCGAAGTTTTTTCTGCCATTTCTGTTACAAAGCAGTAAGTGAGTTGGAAATGATTCAGGTTTTCCCCACTTCTGGTGCCTGGCCTTGGCTCAAGCCAGAGAAGCCGTTTTAAACCAGAGTGGATGAATTTCCTCCCTTTCCTCTCCCCCCTGCTTCTGTCTCAAGCCTGGGAAGCCATTTTAAACCAGAGTGGATGAATTTCATCCCTTTCCTTTCCCTCCACTTCTATCTCAAGCCTGGGAAGCTGTTTTAAACCAGAGTGGACGAATTTCCTCCCTTTCCTTCCACTTTTGTCTCAAGCCTGGGAAGCCATTTTAAACCAGAGTGGATGAATTTCCTCCCTTTCCCTCCACTTCTGTCTCAAGCCTGGGAGGCCATTTTAAACCAGAATGGATGAATTTCATCCCTTTCCTTTCCCTCCACTTCTGTCTCAAGTCTGGGAAGCCGTTTTAAACCATAGTGGTTTAAAACCCCTGCTTCTGTCTCATATCTGGAAATCTGTTTTAAACCAGAGTGGATGAATTCCCCCCCTTTCTCCCCCCCCCCCCCCCCCCCGCTTCTGGACAACTACTTTCAAAGTAAAGACCACCCAATGAAACAGGAAATAGCAGTTTCAAACCTTTAAGGAAGGATTCAGAAGTTTCGAAAAGTTTTGAACTTTTTTTCTGTGAAAATTGGAATTGACTTTAGAATCGAACCACCAGCGAAACAAGATTTGAACCATTTTTTAAAATGGTATACATATGGATAAACCATATATATGACAGCTTTTGTTTTGTAAGCAGGTAGCATTTGGGTAGTTTTTCACAAGTCCTCAAAGATATCTATCTTCACTCAAAGACTGCTATTGATTTTCCTTTATAGTAATTGTAGCCTGTTAATTGCATATGCGCCCATTCAAGGTCCTATGTGCAGCTCACCACAATCTTTTGCATTGAATAATGGATTCTTGGCACACAATCCGCAGAAAAATTGCTGTCGAAAATGTGGTTAATGTGGAAATCAGTGACTTTGACCATTGTTTAGCAAAGAAGAGTCAATTGACTTAAGAAGAAAAGTTCTCAGCCTTTTTGAAGTGTCTTTCCTCAGGGAAGGCAAACAAAAAGTGATTTGATCTATTGCCTTGCTCCACATTCTTTTTGGCCTCTGCTACCCAACCGATGTCAACATTAATTTAACTTCCTGAAGCACTGTTGAGATGAGGGGAAAGGTAAAGTGCATAGGAGCAATACAGCCATTTGGCTCCAATGGGGTTACGCTCCCCCTGAAGGCTCAGGTCCGTAGCTTGGGGATCCTCCTGGACTCAACGCTGTCACTTGATGCTCAGGTGTCAGCGGTGGCCGGGAGGGCCTTTCCACAACTCAAACTTGTGCGCCAGCTGCGACCATACCTCGTGAAGTCTGACTTGGCCTTGGTTACATCCAAACTGGACTATTGCAATGTGCTCTATGTGGGGCTGCCCTTGAAGACGGCCCGGAAGTTTCATCTGGTACAATGGGCGGCAGCCAGGCTCCTTACTGGAGCAAACTATAGGGAGCATACAACACCCCTATTAAAACAGCTTCATTGGCTTCTGATAAGTTGCCAAGCCAAATTCAAGGTGCAGGTCATGACCTATAAAGCCCTAAACAGTTTGGACCCCGCCTATCTCCACAATCACACTTCCTTCTATGAACCGGTACAAACTCTAAGATCCTCCAGGGAGGCCCTCCTCTCGGTCCCACCTCCATCACAAGCACGGTTGGTGGGGATGAGAGAGAAGGCCTTCTCGGTGGTGGCCCCCCACCTCTGGAATGCCCTTCCAAGGGAAATAAGACAGGCCCTATCCCTCCCCTCCTTTCGTAAGAGCTTGAAGACCTGGTGGTTTCAACAAGCCTTTGAAAATGACCAGTTCTAACTCAGTCTTACACATTGTCAAATGCGGCCTTATTCTTCCTACCAATTACCCAGATCACTTCCTCTAATCGGCCACAGCCACAGACCTGTACTTAATATTATTGCTGTCTGCCATAGCATTGCACTTAATTCTCGGGCCCCCTAGAATTTTTGGGTTTGCACAAATCTTGGCCCAGCCTTTTAAATTTTTTAATTGCCTTGAACAGGCAGAATTACTTTTAATATATGTGTGTTATGGTGACAATTTTTATGCTTATATTTTGTTTTGTTAATCTTATGGTTATTTTGTTTTTTACTTTGTATGTTTTGTGATGTTACCTGGGAACCTCTCTGAGTCCCCTCGGGGAGATAGAGCGGTATATAAATAAAGATTATTATTATTATTATTATTATTATTATTATTATTATTATTATTTTGTCCATTGGCCACCACCTCCTTTCTCTAGCTGATATTGGACCATCATATGATATTATTATTATTATTATTATTATTATTATTATTATGTCCACCCTTGTCATTGGATCACTGAAGAATGGTGTATTTTGTTTATGTGTTTGTGCTATAACGAACTTGAAGGGTAGCCTTTTCTTCCTAGAAATTTTACCCTTTTACCATTGTTAGTAGTAAAATATCTATAGATTGCTGTTTTTCATTTTTTTAAAAAAAAGATGATTTGTAGGTATCCATGCAGTGGGAAATGTTGTACTTAAGTATAGCTGCATAGATATTTTTTCACATGACCTCAATTTATTTCTACTTCTCTGATCTCCAGGTTGGATGAGCACCCAAGCAGTAACTGGAATCCTAGGCTGAGTAAAACAGAGTATCACCAATTAATTGGGAACTTGACATCTCTTCGAATCAGAGCTACTTTTGGAGAAAGTGAGTTGGAATTAGGATGGTAGAACATGGTTTAAAAATTGATTGTGTTATTTATTTTATTTATCGTGTCAGAAGCAAATTGACAATACAGTTATAACATATAGAAAAACCACAAACAAAGTCAAAAATTTGGCATTATGCTGAATTTTCTTTGACCAGAAGCTGGCCGCTTGGAGTGCCTCTGTTGTCGCTCTAAGAAGGTCCTTCATTGTGCATGTGGCAGGGCTCAGACTGCATTGTAACGGGTGGTCTGTGGTTTGGTCTTCTCCACTTTCGCATGTCATAAACTCCACTTTGTGGCCCCATTTCTTAAGGTTGGCTCTGCATCTGATGGTGCCAGGGCACAGTCTGTTCAGCTCCTTCCAAGTCGCCCAGTCTTCTGTGTGCCCAGGAGGGAGTTTCTCATTTAGTATCAGCCACTAATTGATGTTCTGGGTTTTAACCTGCCATTTCTGGACTCTTGCTTGCTGATTGTATGCAATTTTTTAAAAAAAGGTATTAACTTCAATGATTTTAATTTCAAAAAGGTTCTTACAAGTTCTTAACAGAGTGCTATCAAACAATATAAATACTCATTGAAAAGTAGATATTCAGTGTCTGCCTTTGGATTCTTGTTCCAGAAATGTTTATGCTTAGGGAGCATTTTGTACGCTGACTTGCTTTCTGAGGAACCTTTGTGTGTCTGCCAGAGAAATCTCCGTATGGCCCAGAAGATTTTGGTACAATTTTTAAATAACAAACAAAGGTCACGTGGAGAATTCTTGTCCAACTTATCATGGTCTAAAGAAATTGAGACTATATTTTAGGATATATATTTCACCCAGACATGTCCCGTGGTTTCATATTGGAATAGTGACAATGGGGACATTGGTAATAGGGAATGAATATTTGAGGGAAGGTTTTGTTGTATTGGCCTCTATATTGAGGAATCCCTGACTGCAATTCAGTATCCTGAGATGGTTTTAAAGCTACTTTTAATCTGAATATAAGGGATTTTAATGTAACCTGAATATAAGTGATTTTAATGTATATAGAATCATAGAATCATAGAGTTGGAAGTGACCTCATGGGCCATCCAGTCCAACCCCCTGCCAAGAAGCAGGAATATTGCATTCAAAGCACCCTTGACAGATGGCCATCCAGCCTCTGTTTAAAAGCTTATATTTATGGTTTTAGGTCCCGGCATTGAATGTTTGCCGTATATGTGTGGTGCTCCGCCTTGAGTCCCCTGCGGAGTGAGAAGGGCAGAATACAAATGTTTTAAATAAATAAAAAAATCTTCCCAGATTAATGTAAATATCTGCATGTGGAGTTACATTGTACCAATACTATGCAACAGTGCACACAGCAAAAGTCTGCTGTGGAGTCATCTTTTTTTGTTTAAAATTATAACCATAATAATTACTTTATTTTTATACCCCACCTCCATCTCCCCAAAGGGACTTGGGGCAGCTTACAAAGGGATATGCCCAACGAAACAGGTTAAAATAAGCATAAAAAAACAAGCAATATCAAACATCAATAAACATAAAATCAGGCAACATTGTAAAAACGATTTATTTATTTGTCATGTCAGATCAACCAGTCAATTATATTACATTTCTAACAGAACAAAGCAAACAAACAGATAAAATACAGCATTTGTGAGTTTGGTAGTTGGTTAAATGTCCTTTGACCAGTATCTGGCCACTTGGAGTGCTTCTGGTGTTGCTGCAAGAAGGTCCTCCACTGTGCATGTTGCATTGCAGCAGGTGGTCAGTGGTTTGCTCTTCTCCACACTCGCATATCAAGGATTCTACTTTGCAGCCCCATTTCTGAAGGTTGGCTCTGCATCTTGTGGTGCTAGAACACAGTCTGTTTAGCGCCTTCCAAGTCGCCCAGTCCTCTGTGTGCCCAGGGGGAGTCTCTCATTTGGTATCAGCCATTGGTTGAGGTTCTGGGTTTGAGCCTGCCACTTTTGGACTCTCGCTTGCTGAGGTGTTCCAGCGAGTGTCTCTGACGATCTTAGAAACTATTTCTAGATTTAAGTTGTTGACGTGCTGGCTGATACCCAAACAGAGGATGAGCTGGAGATGTCTCTGCCTTGGTCCTTTCACTATTGGCTGCTACTTCCCAGCGGATGTCAGGTGGTGCAATACCGGCTAAGCAGTGTAATTTCTCCAGTGGTGTAGGGCGCAGACACCCCCTGATAATGCAGCATGTCTCATTAAGAGCCACATCCACTGTTTTAGTGTGGTGAGATGTGTTCCACACTGGGCATGCATACTCAGCAGCAGAGTAGCACAGCGCAAGGGCAGATGTCTTCACTGTATCTGGTTGTGATCCCCAGGTTGTGCCAGTCAGCTTTTGTATGATATTGTTTCTAGCACCCACTTTTTGCTTGATGTTCAGGCAGTGCTTCTTGTAGGTCAGAGCACGAACCAAAACGATTAATAGCTATCATGGCTGAGCAAATAAAGTGCTGGGTTCAGTTCATAATGACTAAGTGCAATCAATCCTAAGATGTGAATTTTAGAAAAGTGGCAGAATCATTTAGAAACAGCATGGGACAGGCTGTCAAATGAATTTGTATGAAAGTAACATGAACCAGAGACAAAGTTGAAGTACTTTGGCCACATCATGAGGAGACAGCAAAGCCTAGAGAAGACAATTATGCTGGGGAAAATGGAAGGTAAAAGGAAGAGGGGCCGACCAAGGGCAAGATGGATGCCATCCTTGAAGTGACTGGACTGACCTTGAAGGAGCTGGGGGTGGTGACGGCTGACAGGGAGCTCTGGCGTGGGCTGGTCCATGAGGTCACGAAGAGTCGGAGACGACTGAATGAACATGAACCAGAAATGAGCTGATCTGTCATTGCTAGGCCTGCTGCTCAAACAACTGCTCCTGTTAGAAATTTTCCATTTGGGATTTTGGGATGCATGGTACTAATCATATTAATTTCTCAAGCCTTCACTGCAATGTGCTTTCTATGTGTCTATTTTTCAGCCACAGGCTACCTCAGTAACATCAATTTGGTTTCGGCACGGCCAGAACCTGGTACACCAGCACCCTGGGTGGAACAATGTGTGTGCCCGACTGGATATCAGGGGCAATTCTGTGAGAAATGTGCTCCAGGATACAAGAGAGAGGATTTTGCTAGACGTGGAGCTCTCGGCAACTGTGTGCTGTGCAGTTGCCAGGGAGGAGGACTCTGCGACCCAGACACAGGTATGGAAATTCACAGGGAGCCTATTGTTCTGGTCATCCGGGTGTTTTCAATTGTGTGGGCAACAGTTTGGCCCTTAATAAGGAAGTCAGCGAGTCTTTGACCTGTTACCAGATTGTCTAACCAGGATTCTATGAGGGATACTTGGGAGTGACATCACTTTCCTCCTACTTCATGAACAAATGCAGGCAGATTTTCATTCAATCAGTACATGTTCTCCTTTTTTGAGGAAGAAGGTTTGTTTCAATCAAGCAGACATGTTAAGCTATGTCTATTCCACTTAGGTCCACTTAGGACGGCAACTCCATACTCCCCAGACCTATTCTTTAGGCTTGGGTGATCAAGAAAAAAATTGGTTCTAAACACGTTTCGTTTTTAGGGTGCGCTAGCGTTTCTAAATTCTGTGGACTTCCAAAATTTAAGATTTCAAAATTTTGAAATTTCCGAAATTTCGTAAATTACGAAACGATTCGTTAATGGCGGACACGATTGCGCAATGCGCTAAAAACACCTACAAACGGGACTGGGAGATCTTCTAAAGCTTTCCTCTCCCTCTGAATGTGATTGCTGGTGTGAAAAAATAAACAACAACTATATTATATTATATTACTTTATATTATAATATATTATATATATTATATTATATTATTATATTACTTTATATTATAATATATTATATAATATAATATAATATATATTATATATATTATATTATAATATATTATATAATATTATATTATACAATTATAATATAATATAATAATATAGTAATATAATATATAATATAATAATATAATATAATATATACAATACTATAATAGTATTATAATAATATAATATAATATAATATATATTATTATATTATTATATTATATATTATATTATAGTATTGTATATTAGAGTGAGGCAAGAAGAAGCATGAGGAAAGAGGAGGGAAGCAGCAGAGCAAAGGGACCGGAAGTGGGGTAAATGCGAGATTGTAAAACTTGCACCAGACATATGAAAATAATTACGAAATAATTACGAAATAATTACAAAAATTGGAAAAATTGTTTCGATTCTTAATTACTCCTCACACTATTCCTGCATGGCTCGATATTGGATCGTAAGCTAATTTAAATACGAATCAATAACGAATTACGAAATTAACGAACTGGATCGCCCAAGCCTACTATTCTTTATTATCTTTTTTTTACAGTAAAAGAGCTCTCCTGCCCTCTATGGGACACAGAAAATAACGTTGCTAGGTGTTAGCTCCTATTATCTGTTTTCGCCATTAGAAGCATTCGATCAAACTTCAGTCCTCTGGGTGTTTTGGAAATCCCAGCCAGTTTACAGGCTGTTAGGAATTATGGGAATTGAAGTCCTAAACACCTGGAGGGCCGAAGTTAGCCCATGCCTGCATTAGAAGCATATTCCAATCACTTACTACATTTAATAATAATAATAATAATACTAAAATCAGGATGAGACAGGGATAGAGCTGATTGTTTATTATTATTATTATTATTATTATTATTATTATTATTATTATTATTGGATATAACAATTGTAAAGTGGAGGAACACCTCTAAAGATTATCTTTCTGTTTTTTTCCCTTTTTCATACACACCACAAGTGTCCAGTCCATCTTTCTTAATGGGCTTCCCGAATTTGACTTAAATAAAAGTTAATTTGTCCATGTCTCTGATTTCTCTTAATTTATGTATCTAATCTTCCTTATATGGAGTTTTATTTAATTTCCAAAACTTTGCATAGGAAATTCTTGCCACTGTAGAGATATATGTGAATAGAATATCTTTATTATGATCCAAATTTAAGTCAGAGTCTGTAAGACCTACGAGATAATATTCTGGTTTTCTTCGAAATTTAATTCCGAGTAGATTTTGGGACTCCTCGTGTATCACTTTCCAATATTTTTGGGCTTCTTTACAAGTCCACCACACGTGGAAGAAGCTGTCCTCCTGGTCCTGGCATTTCCAACAAGTTTTACTTGCATTTTTATACATGAGTCCTAATTTCTTTGGGGTAGTATACCATCTATGAAACATCTTTAGAAAGTTTTCTTTTAAGTCCATAGCATAAGTATTTTTATGGATTTTTATTTTTAACCATGGGAGAAGCCTGTTTTGTGTTTTGTTTAGAAGCTGGCGTTCTTTGGGTTCTAATAACAACTACACAAAGAACGTATTGTCGAAGGCTTTCATGGCCGGAATCACTGGGTTGTTGTAGGTGTTTTTGGGCTGTATGGCCATGGTCTAGAGGCATTCTCTCCTGACGTTTCGCCTGCATCTATGGCAAGCATCCTCAGAGGTAGTGAAGTCTGTTGGAACTACGAAAAAGGGTTTATATATCTGTGGAATGACCAGGGTGAGACAAAGGACTCTTGTCTGCTGGAGCTAGGTGTGAATGTTTCAACTGACCACCTTGATTAGCATACAGTGGGCTGACTGTGCTTGGATCAAACTTTTGTTGAGAGGTAATTAGATGTACACAAAGAACCTTAAGAGAAATTCAACCTTTGAGTCATGTGTTATCGAACTCTGCTTTCACTGCTGTCATTCTTTTCACCACTTTCTGTCTTTGTTTAGGAGAATGTTATTCTGGAGATGAAAACATGGAGCCTATACACGCTGCCTGCCCAGCTGACTATTACCGGCCCACTTGGAACCCACAGAGCTGCCAACCGTGCCCTTGTCAAAGAGGACATGGCTGTTCGGTCCGACAGAGTACAGGAGAAATTGTTTGCAACAAGTGCCTTCCAGGCACTGATGGTAATATCTAAATTATGATATATAATTATTACCTTTTTGCCATTTCCAACAGAAATTGCAAGAGCCTAGCAAAAGTTATGTGTTGTGAATCAGCGTTGAAACCAGACATTTAGTAAGATGATTTTCTGGTAGTAGTGCAAGACCTCCTACTACCGCTAGCAAATTGTTTCATCTTTTTTAGGTCTTTTCTTCTAGCCAGGGATCTCAGACATATGCTTCCAGTGGTTTTGAGTAAAGTCTGTCAGTGAAAACAGCTTCAGGAGAAAAGAGTGAAGGTCCTCCCACAATACCTTCCTTCAAATGACACTCCTCCCCCTTTTAGATGTTTACTCATGTAAGCTCATATTTCTACATTCAGGTCTTCAAGGGCCCGTCCAGACATGGCCTTTATTGCGGGAACTCCTTCAATAAAGGAGGAGCTGTCAGACAACATTCTGGGCAGTCCCACATTAATCTGAGCAACGGTGTTATGTCTCTGCTTATAGTCTGTCTGCGCAATCTTCTTGCAGCAGTTGAGGATGTGATCTATTGTTTCATGTGCTTCCTTGCAGAGTCTACATTTGGGATCTGTTGTCAACTTTTCAATTCTGGCTCTGATGGCATTTGTTCTAATGGCTTATCATTATTATTTTATTATTTGTCAGGATTATTTAGTTATGCATGTGTGTTTTTCAGTGTGCTTCTATGTAATTCAAGATGGATTCTATTCTGCTCTAATGTGTATAAGAAAATACTGTGTTGAGGCTGTGAAACTGTAACCTTTACAGAAATGAGATAACGTGTTCTCTGGCTGGGAAGAAGAGGGAGGAACTGGTCTCAGCCAGAAGTCAGATAAGCAGATGTTCAGAGACTGTTGTTTTTGCCTTGGAGTTCCTGTCTGTAGCTTGCTGTGAATAGACGTGTGTAGATGTACTTAGTAAAACGTAGTTTTCTGTTGTAACTGAAAGCTTGCAGAGTCCTCATTTTTAATACAGTGTCTGCTGATCTAGCAATCCTTCCGCTGGCAAACTTCATCCTCTGACATTATTATTATTATTATTATTATTGAGAGAAGCACTAGAGAAAGGCACCTTAATGAAATCCACATGCCCAACTCCTGACTCTTATCAAACATAATTATTTGCTGTAGTAAGCTAGGAGCCAGGAGATAATCATGGAATTGAAGCTGAGAATTAAAACTAGTATTTAAGAGTCAGTACATACTCTTAAATCTGGGAGGTCTATGGTTAGGTTTTCTAGCATCACGAGGGATGTATAGAGCGAGATCCATGTGTTGCTAGGTCATGACTGTCTGCATGTTTTTCCTTCTCTCCTGCAGGAGTTCGCTGCGAGTTTTGTATCTCTGGCTATTTTGGAGACCCTTTGGGTGAACAAGGTCCAGTACGGCCCTGCCAACCATGCCGGTGTCAAAACATTGACCCAAATGCTTCCTTGATGTGCAACCAATTGACAGGGGAATGCCATTGCAGGGATGGGTTCTTTGGAAATCCTGTGTCTCCTAACCCAGCAGAAAAATGCCGAGGTAACCACTATCATAGAATCATAGAATCATAGAGTTGGAAGAGACCTCATGGGCCATGCAGTCCAACCCCCTCCCGAGAAGCAGGAATATTGCATTCAAAGCACCCTTGACAGATGGCCATCCAGCCTCTGTTTAAAAGCTTCCAAAGAAGGAGCCTCCACCACACTCTGGGGCAGAGAGTTCCACTGCTGAACGGCTCTCACAGTCAGGAAGTTCTTCCTCATGTTCAGATGGAATCTCCTTTCTTGTAGTTTGAAGCCATTGTTCTGCATCTTAGTCTCTCTATCCTGAACAAATGAATCAAGGGCATCTCAGAGAATCATGTATCATGTATCATTTTAGATTATAAAAACTAGTATGAACTGGGACAACTAAGGACTGAATAATTATAATCAAATGTTTGTCATGTCACTTCCTCAAGGAAATCCAGATCTTTTGCCTGTAAGGCTAATAGACAAGATTACATATCTGACAGACTTTTGACCTGTATGGCTGGCTCTAGGTAGTTGAATTTTCATGTGTGGTTTGGAGAGCCACCCAATGAAAAACATGCCCAGCCCTTCCGTTAGAGAAACTGGGGTGATTGTCTCATGAGGAAAAGGCAGAGAAGAGTTGGAGGGCAGAATCAGATGAGGCAGATGGCCTATCCCATAACCTTTAAAGATATCCAGTCTACTAATCACTAAAGTAAGATTACCTGTAAATGAAATTGGCTATTTTGTCATTTGCTAAGGGCAAAAAAGGTGTCCTGGTCCAGACCTAGGTACAATTGAAATGGTTAGATAGCTCTAACACATCGATCTGGTCTGAAAAGCAGTTGGTTGCAAGCTTGTAAAGCAGTTGGTTGCCACCCTCCTGTTTAAGGAGCTCCACTGACTGCCAATTATTTTCCAGGCCCAATTCAAGGTGCAGGTTTTGTGAGTAGATTAATGAACAAATAATGTAATGGATCAGATCAGACGTGTTTCTTGTCTCTCTGAGGCTCCTTCTACACTGCCATATAATCCAGATTATCAAAGCAGATGATCCACATTATCTGCTTTGAACTGGATTATATGAGTCTACTCTGCCATATAATCCAGTCCAAAGGAGATAATCTGGATTTTATATGGCACTGTAAATAGGTCCTGAGTTAGCAAGGATTGTCTCTTATAGAGGTATATGTGGACTTTTCTGTCACTAAACTCCTTTTTTCTTACTTGTGCAGCTTGCAATTGTAATCCAGTAGGAACTGTTGAGCCCCTGCAGTGTCAGAGAGATGGAAGCTGCATTTGTAAGCCAGGATTCGAAGGACGAAGCTGCGAACACCGTCTCCTCTGTCCAGCCTGCTACAGTCAAGTGAAGATTCAGGTTGGCTTTTGCTTTTGTCATGTTCTCATACCAAATGCATCACTCCAACATCCAGCCCACATTAGTTCTGTATCCCAACATTGCTGTGTGTAGGTGATAAACAAATCAACCTCAGGTCACCAAAAGCTATCTGAAAATACACATGACAATAGCTTCCAGTTTCTGATTTCAGCTGTTTGGGCTCTATTTTTTTCAGCTGGGCCTTTACCAGTTGTGTGTTTTTCCTAAAATTGGGGGTCGGTGATTATGTGCTATTGGGAATGTTTGAAAGAATATGGAGGTCATTAAAAAGACTTTAGTGCAGTGGTTCTCAACCTTCCTAAGGCTGCAACCCCTTAATATAGTTCCTCATGTTGTGGTGACCCCTAACCCTAAAATTATTTTCATTGCTACTTCATACCTGGAATTTTGCTCCTGTTATGAATCGACATGTAAATATCTGATAGGCAGGATGTATTTTCATTCTCTGGACCTTGGGAGTTGTAGTTGCTGGGATTTATAGTTCACCTACAATCAAAGAGCATTCTGAACTCCACCAGAGATGGAATTGACCCAAACTTGGCATACAGAATGCCCAATGACCAGCAAAAAATAATGAAAGGAGTAGGTGAGCATTGGCCTTGAGCTTGGGAGTTGTAGTTCACCTATATCCAGAAAGCACTGTGGACTCAAACAATGTTAGATCTAGACTAAACTTGGCACGGATACTCAATATGCGCAAATGTGAACGCTGGTGGAGTTTGGGGAAAATAGACCTTGACATTTTGAAGTTGTAGTTGCTGGGATTTATAGTTCACCTACAATCAGAGAGCATTCTGAACCCCACCAAAAATAGAATTGGGCCAGACTTCCCACACAGAACTCCCATGACCAGCAGAAAATACTGTGTATCCTGATGGTCTTTGGCGACCCCTCCGACACCCCCTTGCGACCCCCCCAGGGGTCCCGACCCCCAGGTTGAGAAACACTGCTTTAGTGAATAGGATAAAGTATGAAGTCCCTAGGCCACATTTTCACCACTGCTGCATTCTAAAGATAGTTGAATCCTCATATGAAATTATCCTTGAAGGACCCCCCGGTGGCGCAGTGGATCAAACTATTACAAAAACTGTAGATTGCAAATCACAATTTCTATGTTCCAAGAAATTCTACATTGAATGTAACATGAGAACATTCACACGATTAATTAGAGACTCTATATAAATAGAAGATAGTTTATCAATACTTTGTCAACACAGTGAACTTAGAGCTTCCAAAATAACAATAACTATATGCCAGGAGATTCTTCATAGGTACATGACGTTAGAAATAATAACTCAAATATTGTTGAATGTCATATAATGAAACTTCAGTTTCCAAAATCACAATTTCTATGTAGTAGAAAGTTCTTCTTCAATAAACAAAGATAAATGAAATTAAAGATATGGACACATTAACTTTTGGAGCCCCTGGTGGCACAATGGATTAAACCCCTGTGCTGGCAGGACTGAAGACTGACAGATCGCAGTTTCGAATCTGGGGAGAGCGCGGATGAGCTCCCTCTATCAGCTCCAGCTCCTCATGCGGGAACATGAGAGAAGCCTCCCAGAAGAATGACAAAAACACCAAAACATCTGGGCGTCCCCTGGGCAACATCCTCGCAGACAGCCAATTCTCTCACACCAGAAGCGACTTGCAGTTTCTCAAGTCATTCCTGACACTACAAAAAAAATCCTTGAAGTTAAGTACAGCTGGTTCCGTAAAGTATTTGGGTGGGGTACTACCAGGATCCAGATGTAAATTGCTTCAAGCTATTGTAAAGAACAAAGACTAAAATAACTAGTACAAACTGTAATACATTAATAATAATAATAATAATAATAATAATAATAATAATAATAATTTATTTATACCTCGCTCCATCTCTCAGTGCGGCTTACATGAGGCCATGCCCATCAGTACAGTACACACAATATAACACAAAAAACATAACAAAACCAGAAAATAAAATACATAAAATGCAAAACCAATATAATAAGCGACACAACAATATAAAATCAACCATTAAAAACACAGAAGATTTCACAAGGATAAAATTTTAAAACACTGGGAGATCGGACAATGTAAATTATCAGGAAGAGGATCCTACATTCTAACTCTCAGTTTTGAATCCCTTCACTTTTAGGTTCTTGAACACTCTTGACTTTGTCCCAAATGTTCCTTTTTACATAGTACTGTATCTACACATGTTTTCTGTTGCTTTGTGACATAGATAACATATCTTGTTTCCAGGTAGATCAGTATCTCCAGAGACTACAAGGACTTGAAACACTTGTACACCAGATAAAAACCAATGGAAACCAAGGAGATAATGCAGAACTAGAGAGGAAGATGCGAGAGGCTGAAGAGATGCTCCAACAAGTCTTGAGAGAAGCCCAGCACTTACAAGGTGATTTCAACCTCTCAGACTCCGATACGACTGAAAAGTAGGAAGTTGGAGAAAAGAAATGCTTGAGATAAATGTAGAAACCATTCTTTCTTTACTACGTAAAAGAATGGTCTTAGGCACCAGTAGTGGAAGCAGATAAAATGACTCTTGTAGGAATTGTTGGTTTTGATTTGAAGCGACTTTTCCTTTTCTGCTACTGTTTACTTTGGGTCATGCTCTTGGGTTTATAGAAGCAAATATGAATCATAGAATCGAAGAGTTGGAAGAGACCTCATGGGCCATCCAGTCCAACCCCCTGCCAAGAAGCAGGAATATTGCATTCAAAGCACCCCCGACAGATGGCCATCCAGCCTCTGTTTAAAAGCCTCCATAGAAGGAGCCTCCACCGCACTCCAGGGCAGAGAGTTCCACTGCTGAACAGCTCTCTCAGTCAGGAAGTTCTTCCTAATGTTCAGATGGAATCTCCTTTCTTGTAGTTTGAAGCCATTGTTCTGCATCTTAGTCTGTCTATCCTGTACAAATGAATCAAGGGGATCCCAGGGAATCACGTATCACAAGAATCTCCTTTCTTGTAGTTTGAAGCCATTGTTCCGCGTCCTAGTCTCCAGCGCAGCAGAAAACAAGCTTGCTCCCTTCTCCCTATGACTTCCTCTCACATATTGATACATGGCTATCATGTCTCCTCTCAGCCTTCTCTTCTTCAGGCTAAACATGCTTAGCTCTTTAAGCTGCTCCTCATAGGGCTTGTTCTCCAGACCCTTGATCATTTTAGTCACCCTCCTCTAGACACATTCCAGCTTGTCAATATGTCTCTTCAATTGCGGTGCCCAGAATTGGACACAATATTCCAGGTGTGGTCTAACCAAGGCGGACACAATACTCCTATTGAGACAGGCCGAAATCCTGTTGGCTTTTTTTGCAACCGCATCACATTGTTGACTCATGTTTAACTTTTTGTCCATGAGGACTCCAAGATCTTTTTCACATGTACCGCCCTCGAGCCATGCGCCCCCCATATTCTGTTTGTTGTCAGGAGTTTTCAGAAGCTTCCCTATGACTTCCTCTCACATATTTATACATGGCTATCATGTCTCCTCTCAGCCTTCTCTTCTTCAGGCTAAACATGCCCAGCTCTTTAAGCCGCTCCTCATAGGGCTTGTTCTCCAGACCCGCCTCTGGATGCATTCCAGCTTGTCAATATCTCTCGTTTATATCCCGATCTTCTCAACCTCCGTAGAGGGACACAGACCGGCTTACAGCAAGGATTCAATGCTTATAGTACAATCCAAAAACATCATATAATAACGAGTTAAAATACATATTGATTAAAATTACAATTAAGCCAAATCGCCAAGATAAAATCATGTCCAACTCAGTCCGTATGTGTGGTCAATAACTTTGTTCTGTAGCCGGTTTCAGCCATTACTCTGGGAATGCTTCCTTCCATAGCCAGGATTTCACCAGCCTTCTGAAGGACAGAAGGGAGGGGGCAGATCTGATCTCAATTAAGAGAGAGTTCCATAGCCGAGGGGCCACCACAGTAAAGGCCCTGTCTCTCGTTCTTGCCAGACGTGATTGTGAAAGTGGCGGGACCAAGAGCAGAGCCCGACCAGAAGATCTTAATTGTCTTAATGGTTCATAGGGGAGAATACATTTGGAGAGGTAAACCAGGCCGGAACTGTATAGGGTTTTGTAGGTTAAAACCAGCACTTTGAATTGTGCTCGGAAGCTAATTGGCAGCCAGTGGAGCTGGCGCAACAAAGGAGTTGTGCGCTCCCTGTACTCCACTCCTGTTAGTAATCTGGCTGCCGAACGTTGGACTAATTGTAGCTTCCGGGCAGTCTTCAGAGGCAACCCCACTTAGAGAGCATTGCAGTAGTCAATACGGGATGTAACCAGAGCGTGGGCCACCGTGGTCACTTCACATATTAAATTTCTTGTTTTTTCATGTCTCTATGTGGGGTATTAACAAAGAAGTAAATTGCTAATCGACTTAGGAAGCATGGGGGGGAAACACACTTCAGAAACGGCAAAATACTTGGAACCCACATCATGTGATGAGCTCCATAGGGAGCTATTTCTTAAATGTGTAGAAACCCCGATTTTATTGCATGTGATGAATTATTATTACTATTACTATTACTATTATTATTATTAGAAGAAGAAAGGAAAGCTTAGAGTATGATGCTGGGGAAAATGGAAGGAAAAAGGAAGAGGGGCCGACCAAGGGCAAGATGGATGGATGGCATCATGAAAGTGACTGGATTGACCTTGAAGGAGCTGGGGGTGGTGACGGCCGACAGGGAGCTCTGGCGTGGACTGGTCCATGAAGTCACGAAGAGTTGGAAACGACTGAATGAATGAACAACATTATTATTATTATTATTATTCAACCTGCTTTGAGCTAGCCAAGTGAAAACTTTTTTTGTGTGTCTCTTGATATTTAAGCCTCTGACAGGACCTTGGGGAGCCGCCTGTCAAAGATGAAGGCTCAAGGTTTGACCTACCAGAGTCGTTTGGATGAGATAAACGAGACAACTGACAGACTGCAGTCTTTGGAAAGACAATACCAAAGCCAAGTGCAAGATACCAGGAGGCTGGTGGCAAGAGCGCGTACAGATTTGGAGCAAAGCAAAGCACAAATGGAAGGCATGGCAAGTATCTTCTTCAATCAACAGCACATTTAGACATAATACAATTTTATTTCAGAGGAATTTGTGTAGCTGCTTAATCATTATTAGAGTCAGAAAGTATAGCTGAAAGATAAATTTCCATTTCTGTACCTGTTCCACCTTAACAAACACTACAGAACAATATATGTGGATCAAAGAGTCCTTCAGAATTTTGTTTACAAGAGTAGCTATCCAAATGCATGCTGTAATATACTCTATTCTCTGCTCTTGTTGTTGTTATGTGCCTTCAAAGTTTTTCTGACCTATGGTGGCCCTATGGTAGTGTTTTACTGACAAAAATTATTCACAGGAGGCTTGCCATTGGCTTCCTCCGAGGCTGAGAAACTGTGACTTACCAAAGGTTCCCCAGCGAGTGTCATTAATTTCAACCCTCGTTTCCAGTCATAGGTCAATGCTCAAATCACTAAATTGCATTGGACCTCTTATAACGAACACGTGGTGTACAGACTAGCTCACCAAAAATATAGAGGGAGAATAGTTGTTGAACCAACTGAATATTTAGAAGTTAGGAACTGGGAACCACTAGAACTGAGAGACTTAAAATGATTCTTTAAAAAATTTCACTGCCACCATATTAATAAAATTTCACTGCCACCATATTAATAATAAACAGGCTGAAGTATGATTGCGAGGTTGTTCAGTAACACACTCTGTGTCATTATAGATTTCTTAGAGGCTGCTATAAGCTGACTTGAATAACACTTTGACCACAAAGGTATTCACACTGAGGCTGTATAAGTTGATAAAAATAACAAGAATGTTTATTGAACAGGCTTGAAATATTCAGGTACAAATGCTTAATGGTTTCAGTAAAATACTGGCATAAAAAAACCTCGTGGTTGCGTTTGAATAAAGATCTTAAAACGTTTGGGTTACAAGTCTTAAAAGTTTCAACACAGAAAATTACTTCAGGAAATGAATCTCTGAAAGTAACTCCCAACCCCCCCCCCCCTTAGGAATCTAGCCAAAACCCTGAACTAGACTTCCTTAGGAAAAGAACAGACCACTAACGGGGTTCTGCTCCACACAGTATTCCAGCTATTTACTCAATAACTGCTCTGAATACTACACAAAAGACTTACCCAAAGTTCTTCTTCAAAACCCAAACTGCTTTCACTAACACCCATGGCTTCTTTTCTCTATCCTTTCCAAATACCAACTGGCAAACCGGGAACTCAAACCTCAGTTTTAAAAGTCACTTTAGCCCACTTAGGCTCCGCCCCCATCTTTCTAACCAATCCTAGCCTTCTAACTTTCCCTCCAAGACTAGAACACGCCCCCTCGTGGCAAACCTAACCTAAGATGGCATCTCCCTGTTTCCCTTCTCTAAAATGGATGCCGTGCCTTCTCCAGACCCACTCCATTTAGCTATCAGGCAGCTAGCGAAGGTAAGGGATTCATTACACCCCTCATGTCCTAGACCAGTGGTTCTCAACCTGTGGGTCCCCAGATGTTTTGGCCTTCAACTCCCAGAAATCCTAACAGCTGGTAAACTGGATGGGATTTCTGGGAGTTGTAGGCCAAAACACCTGGGGATCCACAGGTTGAGAACAAATGTCTTAAGACTATTTTAATTTCATTATGGTCCAGAACACAGTACCTGATGCCCTATTCCAGCTAGTTACCATAAAAAAAGATGAAAATACTATCTAGAGTAATACTGACACTCTTCCTCTCTCTTTTCAGGTTATTCCATCTCCAGGCATCCCTGGGGGTTCAAACAGTTTTTTAAACCTGGCCCAAGAAGCAATGGAGTTAGCAAATAGGTGAGTTAATTTTTGTACCTTGCCTCCATCTCCCCAAAGGGACTCAGGGCGGCTTACATGGGGCCAAGCCCAATCAACACAGTTTAAACATAACATAGTAAAATACATGACAAACAGTCAATACAGAATAAATATGAGCACTGAACTCCAAAACTCCAGATGACCTCACTCAGCAGTTTCATGTAGATGTTGAAAAGCATGGGGGAAAGAATGGAATCTTGCGGGACCCCACAGGTCAAAGGTCAGGGATCCGAGCAGGTGTTCCCCCAGCTTCACTGACCAGGTGTGGCTCTCCAAGAAGGAGGCCCATTCCAGAGAATCATTCCAGAAGGATATCATAATCGTTGTTATCGAAAGCTGCAGAGATATCCAGGAGAACCAACAAGGACACACTCCCCTTGTCATGTTCTCTGCGGAGATAATCCACCAAGGTGACCAAAGTCGTATCGGTACCATGACCTGTCCTGAATCGGACTGCGATGCATCCAGATAATCAGTTTTGTCCAAGAATCCCTGGAGCTGAGAAGCAACCACTTGTTCCAACCTTGCCCAAGCAAAGAAGATTTGAAATTGATTGGTAATTGTTCAAAATTGTGGAATCAAGGGATGCCTTTTTCAGAATTAGTATTACTATTGCCTGTTTTAGACACGATGGAATTTGTCCTTGATCCAGTAAGGCAGTTATAATCCTCGAGAACCACCCAGCTAATCCACCTCTAGCAAATTTAATAAACCAAGATGGGCAAGGATCTAGTGCGCATGTGGTTGCTCTCACCATATCAAGGATCTTGTCCACATCATCAGAGTGTACAAGCTGAAATGAATCCAACAAGATCAGACTAACAGATACCTCATTTACCTCACCTGGTACTGCATTAAAGTTGGCATCTAAGTTGGAGCGGATCCGAGCGACTTTGTCTGCGTGAACTCACTGCATCGAGTAGTCAAGTTGTCAAGAGGCACCTCACACCCACAGGGGTGAAGGAGCTCCCCAACAACCTGGAACAACTCAGCTGGTCTATTAGTTGTAGACGCAATGCGAGTCATCGAAAAAGCCTTCCTGGCTGCTCTCAGAGCTGCGGAATGGGCCTTAATGGAGGCTCTAGCCCATGTTTGGTTGGAGACACTCAGAGTTCTCCACCAAAGGCACTCCAGTCTCCATCCGGATCCTTAAATCTCTTGAGATGGACCATGTTAACTCTGTGCAACGAGAGGGGATGACCACTTCATCAATGCCAGCTCCTCAGAGAACCAAGGAGCCAGATTAACTCTGTGCAACGAGAGGGGATGTCTACCGCTCTGACTATCTCGGTGTTATAGAGAATCAACCAGGGTTTCGACAGGTTCCTCAGCGGCCATGACAGAAAGATCTCCAAGAGACATCAGGAGTCCATCCGGATCCATACATCTCTTGAAATGGACCATGTTAATTGGTCCACCACCCCATTGTTGTTGTTGTTGTTGTGTTTACTTATACCCCTCTTTATCTTTCCCATAGTAGACTCAAAGTGGCTTACAATCACTGAGCAGACTCAAAAAATATATTCAAGTCAATTCTTGTAAAATCAGTTTAATGGTTTTGACTTTAATGTTGTGTAATGTAAGGGGATTGGAAAGATAGCAGATACATAAATCAACCTCTCTGTCATTCTCTTTGCCCTGCCCCCTAACAATTTAACCCCATTTCTAGATATTCTCTTTTTGCCTTTCAGCCACATGCAACTGGCAAATACCATTGAGCAAGCATCCCGTGCCGCAGAAGATGCTTCCCAACAGGCATTAACATTGCTGCAGCCATATTTGAGTGGAGAAACCATACTGGCCAACTCTGCACATGGGCTTCAAGAAAAGTATGTCCAAAGGTCCTTGGCCTGCACTTTCAGGGCTACATGATTGACCTTCTCTTTTTCTCTTCATCAACTACATGATTGTGATTTGAGTCCCTGCTAATGTGATGGAAGCTTTGTATGGGGAAAGAGGTTTTGTTTGCTATAAGGCACACAGAGACAGAGGGCAGCCCTGGGCAACTAGGAGCAAAGAAATTAAGGATACTTTTCACTCTGATCAGCAGAAAACATGTAATGTTTCTATGTATTTATAGACTATGACACAAATGGATTAAATTACACGAACAAAAGAATTGAGAGCAAAGAGATATCAATGCTTATATAACTGATTTTCAAAAAGGAGGGATCTAGGTAATGACTGCCATTTGTTTCACTTCTCTGTATCTTTCATTGGTCTGCCTTTGCTCAACTTTTTGTTTTCTTTTTAGCTGCAGAAATTGCTTCGCCTTCTTTGAAAAATTAGTTCATAGAATCATAGAATCAAAGAGTTGGAAGAGACCTCATGGGCCATCCAGTCCAACCCCCTGCCAAGAAGCAGGAATATTGCATTCAAATCACCCCTGACAGATGGCCATCCAGCCTCTGCTTAAAAGCTTCCAAAGAAGGAGCCTCCACCACACTCCGGGGCAGAGAGTTCCACTGCTGAACGGCTCTCACAGTCAGGAAATTCTTCCTAATGTTCAGATGGAATCTCCTCTCTTGTAGTTTGAAGCCATTGTTCCGCGTCCTAGTCTCCAAGGAAGCAGAAAACAAGCTTGCTCCCTCCTCCCTGTGGCTTCCTCTCACATATTTAGACATGGCTATCATATCTCCTCTCAGCCTTCTCTTCTTCAGGCTAAACATGCCCAGCTCCTTAAGCCGCTCCTCATAGGGCTTGTTCTCCAGACCCTTGATCATTTTAGTCGCCCTCCTCTGGACACATTCCAGCTTGTCAATATCTCTCTTGAATTGTGGTGCCCAGAATTGGACACAATATTCCAGATGTGGTCTAACCAAAGCAAATAGAGGGGTAGCATTACTTCCCTAGATCTAGACACTATGCTCCTATTGATGCAGGCCAAAATCCCATTGGCTTTTTTTGCCGCCACATCACATTGTTGGCTCATGTTTAACTTGTTGTCCACGAGGACTCCAAGATCTTTTTCACACGTACTGCTCTCGAGCCACGTGTCCCCCATTCTGTATCTTTGCATTTCATTTTTTCTGCCAAAGTGGAGTATCTTGCATTTGTCACTGTTGAACTTCATTTTGTTAGTTTTGGCCCATCTCTCTAATCTGTCAAGATCATTTTGAATTCTGCTCCTGTCCTCTGGACTATTGGCTATCCCTCCCAATTTGGTGTCGTCTGCAAACTTGATGATCATGCCTTCTAGCCCTTCATCTAAGTCATTAATAAAGATGTTGAACAGGACCGGGCCCAGGACGGAACCCTGCGGCACTCCACTTGTCACTTCTTTCCAAGATGAAGAGGAAGCATTAGTGAGCACTCTCTGTGTTCGTCCACTTAACCAATTACAGATCCACTTCACCGTAGTTTTGCCTAGCCCACATTGGACTAGTTTCCTTGCCAGAAGGTCATGGGGGACCTTGTCGAAGGCCTTACTGAAATCCAGGTACGCTGCATCCACGGCATTCCCCGCATCTACCCAGCTTGTAGCTCTATCGAAGAAAGAGATCAGATTAGTCTGGCATGACTTGTTTTTGATAAATCCATGTTGACTATTAGCGATGACTGCATTTGTTTCTAAGTGTTTGCAGACCGCTTCCTTAACAATATTTTCCAGAATCTTGCCCGGTATCGACGTGAGGCTGACCGGACGGTAGTTGTTTGGGTCATCCTTTTTTCCCTTCTTGAAAATTGGGACCACATTGGCCCTCCTCCAATCTGCTGGAACTTCTCCCGTTCTCCAAGAACTCTCAAAGATGATTGCCAATGGTTCCGAAATGACTTCCGCTAGTTCCTTCAATACTCTGGGGTGTAATTGATCTGGCCCTGGGGACTTGAACTCATTAAGAGCGGCCAGGTATTCCTGGACGACTTCTTTCCCAATTTGGGGTTGGATGTCCTCCAATCCCTCATCCACTCCATCTTGCTGAGGTTGAAGACTCTCTTTTTGTGAGAAGACCGAGGCAAAGAAGGCATTAAGTAGTTCTGCTTTTCCCTATCCCCTGTCAGCATTGCCCCATCTTCTCCTCGAAGAGGTCCTATCGCCTCCTTGTTTTTCCTTTTTCTACTGACATAAGAATAGAAGCCCTTTTTATTGTTTTTAATGTCCCTGGCAAGTCTGAGCTCGTTTTTTGCTTTTGCCTTGCGGACCTTTTCCCTACAGGTGTTGGCTATTTGTTTGAATTCTTCTTTGGTGATTTCTCCCTTTTTCCACTTCTTGTGCATGTCTCTTTTGTGTCTTAGCACAGTTAGAAGTTCTTTGGACATCCATTCTGGCTTCTTTGCACTTGTCCTATTTTTTCTCTTTGTTGGCACAGTTTGCAATTGCGCCTTGAGTATTTCACTCTTGAGAAATTCCCATCCATCCGTAACTCCCTTGTCTTTTAGTATCTGTGTCCACGGAATGCTGCTCAGCGTTTCCTTCATTTTTTGGAAATCAGCTCTCCTAAAGTCCAGAATGCGGGTTTGACTTGTCTTAGTTTCGGCCTTCCTTTGTACCTCAAATTGCAGGAGCACATGGTCACTTGCCCCTAAGGATCCTACCACTTTGACCGCATCGATCAGGTCCTCCGCATTTGTTAGGATGAGATCAAGAGTAGCCAATCCCCTTGTTGCCTCTTCTACCTTCTGGACCATGAAATTGTCTGCAAGGCAAGCGAGGAATTTGTTGGACCTTGTACTCTTGGCCGAGTTTGTTTTCCAGCAAATATCGGGATAGTTGAAATCGCCCATGACTACTACATCTCTTCTCTGTGTATGTTTGGTCAACTGTTGGCAGAAGACTTCATCAAGTTTTTCCTTCTGGCTTGGAGGTCTGTAGTAGATGCCTACAACGAGATCTTTTTGAGTCCCAGTTCCCTTGATTCTTATCCAGATGATTTCAAGCTGGTTTCCCAGATTGCTGTCTTGAATCTAGTTGGTCTCTTTGTCCTCCTTCTCTGGGAAGGAAGCATCCATAGGTTCTAACCAGTGTCAGGGGGTGATGTGCTTTTAGCTTTGAATATGTTTTAAATTACTTTTATGGATTTTAACTGTGATTTTTAAAAATACCACCGATATTTAATTCTGTTTTAATATTTGTATATTTGTATATTTTAAACTTTATTGAAATGCTTTTAATGTAAACTGCTTTGAGTCTCCTTGTGGAGAGTAAAAGCGGGGTATAAATAAACATAATAATAACACATAATAATAATGATAATAATATTTATTTATTTATTTATCGTGTCAGGAGCAAACCAAACAGTTGTATTGCATTTTTAACAAACAAACAAAACACAAAGTTTGCAAATAATAATAATAATAATAATAATAATAATAATAATAATAATATGCTAGCTCTGACTCACACATGAGAGCTAGTGTTTAGAGTATCTTCTAATTAAGTTTGGGTTATTATTGTTGTTGTTGTTGTTGTTATTATTATTATTATGTTCATATTGAGTCCCTGGTGGCGCAGTGGATTAAACTGCTGAGCTGCTGAGTTTGTTGACTGAAAGGTCACAGGTTCAAATCCGGGAGCAGCGTGAGCTTCTGGTGTCAGCCCCAGCTTCTGCCAACCTAGCAGTTCGAAAACATGCAAATGTGAGTAGATCAATAGGTACCACTCCAGTGGGAAGGTAACGGTGCTCCATGCAGTCATGTCGGCCACATAACCTTGGAGGTGTCTACGGACAACGCCAGCTCTTTGGCTTAGAAATGGAGATGAGCACCAACCCCAGAGTTGGACACGACTGGACTTAATGTCAGGGGAAAACCTTTACCTTTAACCTATTATGTTTATTATTATGTTTATATCCCATTTTTGCCTCTCTCCTTGCCTATCCTAAAATGGATTTCTTGAGACAATAAACACATATTTTCTTTTTGTATCTTACAAGAGAGTCCAGAATAATGGCTGTTGATACACACACACATATATTGGACATTTCCAATTTTTCTTCACACACATACAAGGGGGAAAGGTAAAAGTCGGGTAAGAAATAAAAAGGGAAAATAGGGGGTTTGGAGTTATTGTTAGTAAATTAAGTCTTTACCAATATGTAATATTTTGCAGGGGGAGGGGGATGAGGAGGAGACAAGAGACAAGAGAAAATGCAATGTACATAGTTATGATTATTGCATCCAATTTTTCCATTACACTCATTTTCATTACTTAAGGTATTAAAAGGTCATTATATCCCCTGTAGCAAAGAGAGGAGTGATAGTATCTGTTCTGGTAAAGCTGTACCAGGAGCTCCAACTTTATTTGCTTTGTATTAAATGTTTGATTGCAGTCCTAGGTCTCAGGGATTCTGCAGATAGGTGGCTTCTTTTGGTTGCAGTCATAGGGCGAGTCACCTGTCCATCATCGTTACTTTTTGGTCCCGCCCCTTGCTCAGGGCAATTGGGAAGGGAAGGGAGCCATTTTTAGTTAGTCTCAGCAAGGAAAGCTATGTACAGGATGTGTGCAAGCTTCCCCTGTACAAAAGCTTCAACCTTAAAGATTTTCCGGGGAGAACAGTCTTAAGAGCAAATCAGAGAACTCCAGGAAAGCCTCCCCAAAGCTTTGAGGAATTTCCGGGGAGAACAATTTCTCCTAAGAGTCTCCTAAGAATTTCCAGGAAAACAGCCCTAAAGACCAAAGAACTCCAGCTGGAGAACATCTTGCCTTACTGGTAGGTCCACTCAGCGTTTGAGAAGCAGTTCGACCCGGTAGCAGAGCCCACATCAGTAAGGGTTAGATTACAGTCAGCCTGGGAGAAGTTAAAAAGGGGACTTTTCTTTGAAGTAAAGAAGTAGTTATTGAAGACAGTTGCCTTTCCTTCGTGGGCAAGTTTAGGAAGCTACCAGTTGCATAAAAGCCTGGAATCATTTGCTTAATTTTACTGAAGACAAGAGAAGTTTTGTTTGATTGTTTATTAACAAAGGACTTTGTTATACTTCACAAGCCATTTAAAGACTATTTGTAGTGAAACCCTCTGAGAACTTCTCTTTGGGGCCTCTGGCTTCCCGCTGGGCAAAGGTTGCAAATCCTGTTCTAAAGACAATTATTTACAGGCCCAGTGTGCAACAGAACAGTATCAATTAGCTTCAGATTTTGTATTATCTCATATTGCTCTTTTTTGCTTTTCTAGCTTTCTTCTGTCAAAGTTCATCTTGGTTATTCTTGTCATATTATTTCTCTTAAATCTTTATCTAAATCTAATTATTACCTAAGGTATCTAAAAATTCAAGATAGTCTGCTAGTAAGTTATTAATGCAGGAATGAAGTTTGTTATGTATCACTATTTTTTACTGTGTCAGAAGGAGCTTGAGAAATTGCAAGTCACTTCTAGTGTGAGAGAACTGGCCATCTGCAGGGACGTTGCCCAGAGGATTTTTTTTTTGTCGTGTCAGGAGTGACTTGAGAAATTGCAGGTCGCTTCTGGTGTGAGAGAATTGGCCGTCTGCAAGGATGTTGCCCAGGGGACGCCTGGATGATTTGATGTTTCTTATCATCCTTGTGGGAGGCTTCTCTCATGTCCCCGCATGAGGAACTGGAGTTGACAGAGGGAGCTCATCCGCCTCTCCCTGAATTTGAACCTGCGACCTGTCGGTCTTCAGTCCTGCCGGCACAGGGCTTTAACCCACTGCTCCACTGGGGGCTCCGCCCAGAGGATGCCTGGATGGTTTACCATCCTGTGGGAAGCTTCTCTCATGTCCACACATGGGAAACTGGAGCCGACAACTTTGCAAAGTTGTCGGGGGTGCTTAAAATTTCAATAATTCATAAGAATCGCAGAGTGCTTGCATACATTGGTCACTAAGAGAAAGGAGCCTCACACATTTAAGTTTAGAAACCATCTTCTCTTTTTTCAGATATGATGAAGTAAAGCTGCTCTCAAGTGCATTGGAAGCCGATGCTGGCAGAGCTGCGTCTGATGCCAATAAGGTCTACCAGGATAGCCAGTTGTTGTTTGGCTCTCTGGCACGCTTACCAAAGGTTGACATAAACTTCTTTCAGGTGAGACCCATGTCTCTGTACATGCACACATTTATTTATTTACTAGTTGCCCTTCTGCCACGCGTTGCTGTGGCCCAGTCTGGCGATCTGGAAAATAAAGTAATGAGAAAGTGTTGGTTTCTAATATATGTAATTTCTTTATGGTTGTGGGTAAACAGTATTTCTTGCTGTTTCTTTGTCAGTGTTGATGTTTGCCTACTCTGGAACACACAACACATAATTGTCCTTCTTTAGGGGTCCCTTTCAAATCCATGATCTGTGTGTGTGTGAATCATATCTATCTATATCTATGGCTGGATGGCTCTTTGCCAGGAGGGCTTTGATTATGTTTTCTTGCCCTGTTGAAGGGAGTTGGACTGGATGGCCTTAAGTATTTTCTGATGGTCATGGGAGTTCTGTGTGGGAAGTTTGCCCCAATTCTGTCGTTGGTGGGGTTCAGAATGCTCCGATTGTAGGTGAACTATAAATCCCAGTAACTACAACTCGCAAATGTCAAGGTCTATTTCCCCCAAACTCCATCTGTGCTCATATTTGGGCATATTGAGTATTCGTGCCAAGTTTGGTCCAGATCCATCATTGTTTGAGTCCACAGTGCTCTCTAGATGTAGGTGAACTACAACTCCCAAACACAAGGTCAATGCCCACCAAACCCTTCTAGTGTTTTCTGTTGGCCAGAGGAGTCCTGTGTGCCAAGTTTGGTTCAGTTCCATCGTTGGTGGAGTTCAGAATGCTCTTTGATTATAGGTGAACTATAAATCCCAACAACTACAACTCCCAAATGACAAAATCATAATGTTTTGAGTGATGGTCACTACTTGTGATGTGAGACGTTTTGTTGCCAAATTTGGTGTGATTTCGTTCATTGGTTCTTTTGTTTTTAAGGTACTCATTATGCACAGAGCATTTATAGATAGATAGATAGATAGATAGATAGATAGATAGATAGATAGATAGATAGATAGATTTCGGGTATTTTTACCCCACCCTTCTCAACCCCCTAGCGGGGACTTAGGGCAACTTCCAGCCGGCACATATTCATTGCCTACAATTAAATGCAATAAAATACACAACAAACAGTAATTATAAATAATTAAAACATTGAGTTAATACAATAAAATCTACTAGAAAAGAAGCCAGCCTGGTGGCCATCATTTCGCCGAGTTCTGTAATTAGTGAGTCCATTCAGCTTATCGTAATCCGTTTCCAAAGCTCTTGTCGTCATTGTCCTTGTCAGTCTGCCAGATTACCCAAAGGCCTGGTCCCATATCCATGTTTTTAATTTCTTTATAAAAGAGAGGAGGGATGACGATGATCTAATTTTCCTGGGGAGTGAATTCCACAGGCAGGGGGGCCACCAACGAGAAGGCCCTCTCCCTCGTCCCCACCAGTCTCGTTTGTAACAAGGGGGGGATCGAGAGCAGGGCCCCTCCAGAAGACCTTAAATTCCTAGGCTTTTTTGAATGACTGTACCAAACACATATAATATTGTTTTGTGAATGCTATGTTTTGGTACTGTATAATAAGTTTCACCAATCACATTATTGGCTGAACTGATTTATATTTTCTTTCTGTGTACAAGTGGGCTATTGTGTTGTATGCTGGAAAATAAATGGCAGCCAATGGAGCTCCTTAAACAAGGGGGTTGATTGCTCCCTGTAATTCACCCCCATTATTAATCTGGCCGCCGAACCTTGGGCGAGTTGTAGTTTCCGGGCTGTCTTCAAGGGTAGCCCCACATAGAGCGCATTGCAGTAATCCAATCTAGAGGTAACCAACAATACTTCAGTGGAAGACCCTAAACAGCTCTTCTTATCCTCCTCTGATGTTTAAGGGAGAAGCCACTCAACTCCGGCAGAGAGCAGACTCCTTATCAAACTTAGTGGAAACGTACATGGCAGAATACAGACGGCTACAAGGCAACATCAAGAACTGGGAGGATGAGATGAAAATGCAGTTGCAAAAAGGACAAAATGACAGACTGGTAAGGTACATCCCTTTTAATAAACAGAGCGACATCCCTAGGCAATAGCTTCTTGAGCCATGAAATCCTTAACCCACATTTCCTACTTACCTCTTGCTATCACTGCAGTTTCAATGCCTTCCTGCTTGGATTATAGATTGCCAGTCCTTACCTCTTTAAGAGAATTTCATTCATGGATTTCTATGCCAATGTTATCAATTTATTTTAAGGGCAACCTGTTTTCTTCTGAGAGCCAGCTTATCGGGCATGTTTGAACATTGGCCTACAACTCTGGAGACCAAAGTTCAAATTCCCATTAGGCCATGAAAATCTACTGGAGGACCTTAGGAAAATCATACTCTCAGAGCCTCAGAGGGTGGCCAAGGCAAACCCAAATCCTACTGAAGGATGCTAAGCAAGGGGCTTTGAATGAAATTAACAGCAAAAGAGAAACATACACTTTCTCTGACTTAAAAAGAGCAATACGGAAGAAAATGTTTTTAAGAAACAAAATGTGACATGTAGAGGTACAAGAAGGTACTTTCTTACACAGGATGTTGTATTATGGTTAACTTCAAAGGTTGTTTTTTGAAGCGCAGAGTCTACAGGTACAAGAAGGTACTTTCCATCAAAAGGTCAAGGGAGGGGGCTGGAAAGAGAGTACGTTCCATGACAAAAAAAGTTCTTGTATACTTGAGGTTATATATTTGGTGATCAAAAGCCAAGGGGGCACGGCAGTCACTTGAAGGGTAGCATCTGTGCATGCTACCAGGCTGTCAGTCTTCTTCACGAAGAAATTAAAATAAACCTTGTTTTTTTAATCTCTTTTGGGACTGTCTCCTTCCTTACATGTTCCCGTGACTGCATGGACCTAAGAAGACCTAATTTAGGGTCTCTAACACTACCAAGGGAGCTCTGTGATAGGTTTGTCTTTTAGTTACCATGAGTTGGAAATAACCTGAAGGCACATGACAACTTTTTCTTCTTCACAAGGACTAAAGTTGTACCTTAAAATAAAAAACAAACAAACAACCAAATGGTAGATTTATTTCATTTCCTACTATTCAAAGTTCAACAGACAAATTCTGAACCCTTAAACATATCAGTTACCTAAACCCTGGAAGAAGTGAGTTGTATTTTTTGTGTGTTTCATTTGTTTTCTTGTCCTGCTGCCTCACTGTAGGTGTCAATCCAACTGTTGTCCCGTGTCAACCTCGCCAAGAGTAAAGCCCAGCAGGCACTGAGTGCTGGCAATGCTACTTTTGATGAAGTTGATAGCATCTTAAAGAATTTGCGAGGTGAGTTGCTTAAAAGTCTAGATCAGTGTTTCTCAACCTGGGGGTTGGGACCCCTGAGGGGGTCGCGAAGGGGTTCAGAACGCTTCTTGATTGTAGGTGAACCATAAATCCCAGTATCTACCACTCCCAAATGTCAAAGTCGATTTTCCCCAAACCCCATCAGTGTTCACATTTGGGCATATTGAGTTTCTGTGACAAGTTTTGTCCAGATCCATCATTGTTTGAGCCCACAGTGCTCTCTGAATGTAGGCGAACTACAACTCCCAAACTCAAGGTCAATGCCCACCAAACCCTTCCAGTATTTTCTGTTGATCATGGGAGTTCTCTGTGCCAACTTTGGTTCAATTCCATTGCTGGTGGGGTTCAGAATGCTCTTTGTTTACATGTTAACTATAAATCCCAGCAACTACAACTCCCAAATGACAGAATCAATTTCCCCGCCAACCCCACCAGTATTCAAATTTGGGCATACTGGGTATTTGTGCCAAATTTGCTCCAGTGAATGAAAATACATCCTGCAGATCATTATTTACATAGCGATTCATAATGTTAGGGTTATGGTTGGGGGTCACCACAACATGAGGAACTGTATTAAGGGCTCGCGGCATTAGGAAGGTTGAGAACCACTGGTCTAGATAATAATAATAATAATAATAATAATAATAATAATAATAATATAACACTTTATTTGTACCCCGCTACCATCTCCTGAGGGACTCGGTGAGGCTTACATGAGGCCGAGCGCACAATACAACAGTAAACAATAACAACAACAATACAAAAGCAATATATAAACTCATAAGCAAAATAAACAAAACCAATAACAATAACACCGCATTTAAAAACCTGTGGCTGAGCCAAATGTAATAATTAAAATTTTAAAAATAATGCTGGGCATGAACAGGTAACATGTAATTGGAATAGAGGTTTTGGAGAGGGAAGAAACGTGCAGACAATCTAAAGTCATTAAAGTGCGTTTAAGGACATATTGCTGGGAGTTTCCTTATTCTATTCTTATTATCTAAGTCAGTGACCCCCAAACTTTTGTCTTTCAGGTATTTTGGACTTCAGCTCCTATCACCTCCTCACATGGCCGCCAAAAAAGGCGGATGTCATCGTTGCAGGATGTGGGGAAGCCACACCCCCCCCCCCCATGCTCCACATTGCCCGGCTCCTCTGGTTGTTGATCCCATGGAGGAAAGTGTGGCACGCGTGTGGAGTGTGTGGCTTCCCCCCATTAACGTTAGTGGCAACACAGGAAACCACCTGTATTGCCACAGTAGTGGCAGTTCCACCCTCCTTCACCCATGGAGCTGGCATGACATTGTTTGATGGGAGTCGCCTGGCTCCATGGGTGAAAGAGGCTAGATCGGCATATGCCACCGATTTTAGCCCCATGTGATGAGGTCGCTGGAATTCTTTGCCATTGGTCAAGTTGACTGGTGCTTCTAGGAACTAAAATCCAAAATGGCAGGATGACCAGAGTTTGGGAGCCACAGGTCTAGGTCATGGAAAAGTGCTGAATTGGTCTTAATGCCTTTGTCTACAACATTAAGTTCTGCCAAGATTCTGGACATGAATAATGTAGATTCAGAAAAGATGAAAATAAGTTGATGTGGTATTCTCTTTTTTTAGAAGCAACATTTCAGTTTTAGGAGAAGCTGGGTCTTGCAGAAAAGATGGATGAGAAAAAAATAGAGGTGTATGCAACCAAAGGAATTTGTGATTATTTGGATGGAGTGGGGAATTTTTTAGAACTACAGACAGTCTCTAAGCTGGGTTGTTGTAGGCTTTTTTGGGCTATATGGCCATGGTCTAGAGGCATTCTCTCCTGACGTTTCGCCTGCAGGAGAAGTCTCTAAGTTACAAACAAGATAGGTTCTGTTAATTTGTTCTTAAGCTGAATTTGTTTGTGAATTGGAATATGTACATTTTTAAGTGTAACTCCAAACAAATATATATTTCATGGGGAAACTGAAGCCTTGTCACCAATTTCTGTTTCCACAACAAGCCAAAATTTTCAAAATCCAATTTTCACAGGGATAGAAAGTGAGGTGATATCTTCTGAACATGGGGCACAGACAGAAAAGCAAACACAACAGGGATTAACCTTTCCCTATGCTATCCAAAGCATATATATATAAATAAAAATGTAATGTTCGTTTGTGGGATTAACAGAACTCAAAAACCACTGGACGAATTGACACCAAATTTGGACACAAGACACCTAACAACCCAATGTATGTCCTTCACTCAAAAAACACAAAAAACAGCAGAAGAGACTTAAAAGCCCCAAAAAAGCTAAACGAAAAGCTAAAGGACAATACAGAAAAAAGGGAAGAAAGAGCGAGGGAAGGGGAGAAAAGAAAAGAAAGAAGAAAGAAAGAGGGAGGGAGGAAGAAGGAAAGGGAGAAGGAAGAGGAAGAAAGAGAAAGGAGGAAGGAAAGAGAAGGAAAGGAAGAAAGGAGAGAAGGGGAGGAAAGAAAAAGGGGGAAGGAAAGGAAAGAGGAAGGAAGGAAGAGGAAGAAAGAAAAGAAAAAGAAGGAAGAAAGAGGGAGCGAAGGAAGGGGAAGATGTAGAGAAAGAGGGAGGGAAGAAAAGAGAGAAGGAAGGAAAGAGACAGCAGAAGAGAAAGAAAAAGGGGGGAAGGAAGGAGATAGAGAAAGAAGGAAGAAAGGGGGGAAAAGGAAAGAGGTAGAGAAGGAAGGAAGGAAAGAAGGAGAGAAAGAGGAGTGAAGGTTGGCCACAGCAACATGTGGCGGGTTCAGCTAGTAGTTATTATTATTATTATTATTATATATATAGAGAGAGAGAGAGAGAGAGAGAGAGAGAGAGAGAGTGATGGCACGTCCGAGCCTATAGGAAAACTATAGTGTCTGGCTTTACTTGGGAGCTATCTGTATACCTTCTGTTAAGATTAAGACCCTTAGCAGACAGATGCACTTTGTGGCAAGGTGAAAAGAAAACCAATGATTTTACTGAAACAAGATGAATAAAGAGTTAACTCCACCTGGGACCATCATAAGGTAACTTGAAACAATACATTACAAAAGGAGAATTTGCTGGTTGCAGTCATCTTTCTGGAGTCTTTCCTGCCTCTGGTGCAAAGCAATGCTTATAAACTGTCTTAATCTTCTTTCCTGTGAAGCTTAAGATGGTTATAAGCTTCTGTTGTCCTTTGGACTGGGTATAAAAATACTGCTGAATACAGGTGCTAAGCATGCCTGTTTAAATTGCTTGAGCCTGGGATTACCAGACAATCCCAAGCCTAAATCACAGTAGCTCTGTTGTAAAAAGAGGGAAGAGTCCAGCAAAGAGCTCTGTACAGGGAAATTGAAAAGATCAACTAACGCTGGCGTATTCGCTAGGAGGTGTTTATGCTCCACCCAAAACGTAACACAAAGGAAGGTAACTACACTATTGGGAAAACCTTTGAAAAGGGGGGACTAAAGCAGAGGAGGGGGAAAGGCAGAGTCTGTTGCATCCCAGTTCAAGAAACAAGACCATAAGATTAAATCCACCACTCTGGACTGTAGGAAAAGCAATCCTTGTTTATTGATGAAAAATTGGTTACAAAAGAAAGGTAAATGCAGAGTCAAAAGCCACAGAAAAACACAGTAGTCAATAGGATCTCTGAACTTGAACAAAACTTCAAAAGCCACAAAACAATAACCAGGAGTCTGTTAGCCTTTTACTAACCATGAACTTGGAAACTTGGAAACTAGAAGCCTCTGGGATTACTGGCCATGGAACACAGGAATTCTGCCAAGGCACAGCCACAGTCCCGAACGTTGCTTGACCTAAAGAAGCACCTGGCAGGAACCCTCTTAAACCAAAGAAGCTATTCTTAGAAACGCCCTTGACTTTTCTGTCTGGGCCTCTTTCTGCTGTAAGCGCTGTGACCTTCGTAGAGACTGGGAAACATTTCTATCTCTATCTGTTCTCTTCGGTCCTCATTAGAAACCCCAGGTGGAGAGATATCACGGCTAACTTCCAAAACATTCTCTTCCAGCTGTTGGGTTTCGTTTTCATCCCCACTGACCTCTGCATCAACAACAGATTTCACACTGTCAGAGTCAGGGAGAGCTTGCTCAGTTGGAAAAACTATCAGAGAATCCTGTTCACACAGATCAGGATCAGGCTGAACCCCAACAGAGTCAAGACTTCACATATATGCATAAGCTGTTCCCCTGTTCAGCACACTTTCTATCCCTGTGAAAATTGGATTTTTAAAAATGTGGCTTGTTGTGGAAACTAGAATTGGTGTGAGGCTTCAGCTGAGATTCCTTTACCCCATGATACATCTTTCAGCACTGAATTTCTCTTCCTAGGGATAGAGTCCTCTCACTTCCTATTGTCTCACTCCTGTTCTTAACTATCAGTCATTTGTAAGTTGGATGTTTGTAACTTGGGCCTGTATACATTTTGTAGCAATGTGACTCAGGAATAAATACCACGGTAATATGATTCTCTCTCACACACACACGGGATAAAGTCCTCAGATTTGCATTTCTCCTCCTTCTGCTTGTAGAGTTTGATCTTCGAGTAGGAGACAGGCAAGCAGAGGCCAGAGATGCCATGCGAAAGCTTCCTCTCATCAGCGGTATGATTGCCAGTGCCAATGAGAAGACAACGCGTGCGGAAGCAGCCCTGGGCACTGCCGTAACAGAAGCTGGATCAGCCAGGAGAATGGCTGGAGAAGCAAGGGAAATAATTGGTGGCATTGATCAGGTAGAGGAGGAATAGGATGAATTGAAAAAAAAGGGTGTGGGGGTGATTGACACTGAACACTGAGAATTTCAACAAAACTCTATTTTATAAAGGAGGTTTACTTTGGGAACTAATTTGTTATTGAAAACTGTATAAACAAATGCAAGGAGGTAACAGCTTGCAAGAGGCCCCCAGGTCTTTGGGTTTGTGCATTATCTGCTGCTCTTAATATTTCTGATTTGCAGGTTCTCATAATGTCTGGCTCTTGCAATGGCTTTCTTTTTTCTCAGCCAATGAATGCTTCTTCAAATGGGAAAGCCTATGTGTGGCATAGGCACGGATAGAGCCGTGTCAGATAACTCGTTGCTTAAAATAATTTTGTTAAAAACACCTTTTTGAAGCAATATTGAAGCTTTTTAAAAAACCGGATGTCCCTTTGCCCTTCTGAAGCTTTTTCTGCCATTTTTGTTATGACTCAGGAAGTGAGTCAGAAATGATTCAGCTTTTCCCCACTTCTGGTCCCTGGATTCGGCTCAAGCCAGAGAAGCCAGTTTGAAACCAGAGAAGGAAGGAATTTCCTGGCCTTGGCTCAAGCCAGAGAAGCCAGTTTGAAACCAGAGAAGGAAGGAATTTCCTGGCCTCAGCTCAAGCCAGAGAAGCCAGTTTTAAACCAGAGAATGAAAGAATTTCCTCCACTTGCTTTTCCCTGCTTCTGGTCCCTGGCCTTGGCTCAAGCCAGAGAAGCCAGTTTGAAACCAGAGAAGGAAGGAATTTCCTGGCCTCGGCTCAAGCCGGAGAAGCCAGTTTTAAACCAGAGAAGGAAATAATTTCCTCCGTTTGCTTTTCCCCACTTCTGGTCCCTGGCCTCAGCTCAAGCCAGAGAAGCCAGTTTTAAACCAGAGAAGGAAGGAATTTCCTAGCCTCGGCTCAAGCCAGAGAAGCCAGTTTTAAACCAGAGAAGGAAAGAATTTCCTCCGTTGGCTTTTCCCCGCTTCTGGTCCCTGGTCTCAGCTCGATCCAGAGAAGCCAGTTTTAAACCAGAGAAGGAAATAATTTCCTCCGTTTGCTTTTCCCGCTTCTGGTCCCGGGCCTCGGCTCAAGCCAGAGAAACCAGTTTTAAACCAGAGAAGGAAGGAAGGAATTTCCTGGCCTCGGCTCAAGCCAGAGAAGGCAGTTTTAAAACAGAGAATGAAAGAATTTCCTCCACTTGCTTTTCCCTGCTTCTGGTCCCTGGCCTAGGCTGAAGCTAGAGAAGCCAGTTTTAAACCAGAGAAGGAAGGAATTTCCTCCGTTTGCTTTTCCCTGCTTCTGGTCCCTGGCCTCGGCTCAAGCCAGAGAAGCCAGTTTTAAACCAGAGAAGGAAATAATTTCCTCCGCTTGCTTTTCCCTGCTTCTGGTCCCTGGCCTTGGCTCAAGCCAGAGAAGCCAGTTTGAAACCAGAGAAGGAAGGAATTTCCTGGCCTCGGTTCAAACCGGAGAAGCCAGTTTTAAACCAGAGAAGGAAGGCATTTCCTCCACTTGTTTTTCCCCGCTTCTGGTCCCTGGTCTCGGCTGAAGCCAGAGAAGCCAGTTTTAAACCAGAGAAGGAAGGAATTTCCTGGTCTCGGCTCAAGCCGGAGAAGCCAGTTTTAAACCAGAGAAGGAAGGAATTTCCTCCACTTGCTTTTCCCTGCTTCTGGTCCCTGGCCTTGGCTCAAGCCAGAGAAGCCAGTTTGAAACCAGAGAAGGAAGGAATTTCCTGGCCTCGGTTCAAACCGGAGAAGCCAGTTTTAAACCAGAGAAGGAAGGCATTTCCTCCACTTGTTTTTCCCCGCTTCTGGTCCCTGGCCTCGGCTCAAGCCAGAGAAGCCAGTTTTAAACCAGAGAAGGAAGGAATTTCCTAGCCTCGGCTCAAGCCAGAGAAGCCAGTTTTAAATCAGAGAAGGAAAGAATTTCCTCCGTTTGTTTTTCCCTGCTTCTGGTCCCTGGCCTCAGCTCAAGCCAGAGAAGTCAGTTTTACACCAGAGAAGGAAAGAATTTCCTCCGCTTGCTTTTCCCTGCTTCTGGTCCCTGGCCTCGGCTCAAGCCAGAGAAGCCAGTTTTAAACCAGAGACAGAAGGAATTTCCTGGCCTCAGCTCAAGCCAGAGAGGCCAGTTTTAAAACCAGAGAAAACAGTTTTAAACCAGAGAAGGAAGGAATTTCCTCTGCTTGCATTCTCCTGCTTCTGGAGTAAAACAACTACTTTCAATGTAAAGACCACCCAATGAAACAGGAAATATCACTTTCAAACCATTAACAAAAGGATTCGGAAGTCTCGGAATTTCCGAAAGTTTGAATTTTTTCTGTGAAAATCGGAATTGACTTTATAATTGAACCACCAGCCACCCCCTACATCCGAAATGAGTTTTGAGCCATTTTTTTGGATCAACCAAGCCTAATGGTTACAGCTGGACATGTAAGATGCAAAATTTAAACTCCACTAAGGCCCCTTCGACACTGCCTCTATATTCCAGAATCTGATCCCTGATTATTGATTTATTCCCAATTATCTGGCAGTGGAGATTTATATAATCCAGTTAAAAGCAGATAATCTGGGATCATATCCTGGGATATAGGGTAATGTAGAGGGGGCAATGCTGTGCAATGCACTGGGTGAGTTTGGGCCAGTTTCCCTCTCTAAACCAAAATAGATGTGAGGATGGAGAACTATCTATGCTGCCTTGAGCTCCGTGGAAGAAAGTGAAATTTGAAGATAGAAATCAGTAAGTATGCTAACTACAGTTTTACTTTGTTCCCATCACAAGGAAATAAGGCGATTGGCTTTGGAAGCCAACAGGACAGCAGATGGAGTGCTAACCCTGGAGCAAGGGATTGTGTCTCTGCGGAAAGAGACCAAAGATACGGAAAGTGAGCTACAAAAAAAGGCATTGGAGGTTGACATGGATGCCACCATGGCCCAGGAAGTGAGTTTATATTTTTCATGCAGTGGTCTTTTTGAGATGCCTGCTTAGGTGAGAAAGCCTGCTAATAGTTTTTAATATTGCCACCAGGCTCTTCAAATGTCACAGAGCGCCAAGGCAGATGCTGGCAGTGCTGGGATGGCTGTCCAAGACCTGCTGAGAACATTAGAAGATGTTTTACGAATGATGGGTAAGAGATCTCTTGATTTCCTATCAGGGTTGCAATCAAAACTTGAGTAATCAGTAGAAAACCACTGTAGAGCAGTGACACAAAAGCACAGTATGTCATAGCAAACGAGATCTATATGCTGGATTTCATATTACAAAATCACAAGTCGAACACTTCCCAAGCGTCTAGGACTGTGTGATGTATTTTCGAATGATACGCGCAGATCCAAGTAAGGTGGCCTTTTGTAGTTGACAGATCATGATTTTGTCAATGTTTATTGTTTCCAAATGCTGGTTGAGATCTTTTGGCACGGCACCCAATATGCCGATGACCACTGGGACCACCTGTACTGGTTTATGCCATTCCTAGTGTTTTATTTTATTTATTTATTGCGAAGGAGCTCGGGCCCCAAATTCGGTAAGGGAGGTCTCAGGAGAGAGAAGTTACGATTTATTATTTATTATCCTTAATGGTGCCACCAATTTGGTGATGTGAGGTAATTTTGGGAGATTGGGCACACTAAACGCAGAATTAATGGAGATGAGGCAGTTTTACAATCAAAGAGAACAAGTTTATTTTGAAACAAAGCGTATGGTTGCAGTTTGGTGATAAACTTGGAAAATACTTGGAGAACGTTACATATAACTTGGTTGCGATACAGTTCAGACTTCTGATGTTACAACTTATAAATAACCTTTGCTGTGGTGAAGCACTTTATTAAACAATGGTTTCTGAGGTGAATAGTCTTCCTGTTTGACCCTTCCGTGATCAAACCTCAGATCTCTAGTTCACTTTTAACTAGTGATCTAAACGAGCTTCTATTAGTCTTCTCTAACTAATAAAACTAATAAGGTTTCCCCTTCAGCCTTCCCGAACTGAAGAAACCTCCGACTATTCACAAACACTGCTTCTCTACTTCCCACTCTCTCTCTCTTTCAACTCTTCACTTCCCTGAGCCTAAACCTAACTCTTCATTCCTCTGAGCCTCAACCCTGACTCTTCATGACTCTTCACTCCTCTGAGCATAAAACCTAACTAACTTTTTAACTGTCGCTTTTCAAAACTCCCCTCTCCTAAGCTCCTCCCACTTCTCTACAGCATTGTTTCCATGGTAACACACTCCTCACAGCTAGGCCGCTCCAGCATTAGCATCGTTTCCATGGTAACACACTCCTCACAGCTAGGCCGCTCCAGCATTAGGGCAACCAGTGCAAACACAAATACAGTTATAATAATATCATTTACAATCAATACAGTTTATAATCATATCATTTACAATCAACTTCTGTACATTATTATTATTATTATTTGAAACACAACAAGATGAATCCACAGCAGACACTCTGTTTTATTTTTTATTTATTATTATTATTATTGGCACAAAAGCACAGTATGTCACCGCAAACGAGATCTATATGCTGGATTTCATATCACAAAATCACAAGTCGAACACTTCCCAAGCATCCTAGGACTGTGTGATGTATTTTCAAATGATGCGCGCAGATCCAAGTAAGGTAGACTTTTGTAGTTGACAGATCGTGATTTTGTCAATGTTTATTGTTTCCAAATGCCGGCTGAGATCTTTTGGCACGGCACCCAGTGCGCCAATGACAACTGGGACCACCTGTACTGGTTTATTATTATTATTATTATTATTATTATTATTATTATTATTATTATTAGAAACAGAACAAGATGAGTCCACAACAGACACTCTGTTTTTATTATTATTATTATTATTATTATTATTATTATTATTATTATTATTATATGTGGCATGTTTTGTTTTGTGACTGGTTTTTGGAAGAGAAATATGGTCTTAAGTTGCAAATTATATTGCTGAGACACACACCACTGAAGAAATTCTGAGGAGAAAGAATGTACTAATTGCAAGAATACACATTTGAACATCTCATGTGACTACAAAATGAAATGGAGAGTGCACACTCAGAAGGTTTTGCTAATAAGCTTTTGTTTCCCTTGCTTTTGCAGAGCAACCTGAGTCCTTGGATGATCAAGGTGTGACTTCGCTTGAGATGAATCTCAATAAGGCCAGAAAAAGACATAATCAATTGAAAGAGCTAATGTTACAACTGGAGCAAACAGCCAGCCGACAGAAACTTCAGGTTCAGACACTGTATAAGAGCATTATAGAGATCAACGCTGATATCAAGAACCTGGAGGAGATACGGGATAATCTCCCTCCCAAGTGTTATAATGTTCAACCCATTGAGAGACCTTGAAGATTTGCGAGGTAGGGGAAGCAAACTCACAAATATTCCTTCTGCCAATACTTGGACTCAGCATCTGGATCAGAGTAATGATTTGGGATGATGCAGGAGATCCATCCCTCCTAAGGCTAGATAGACTCATTTCAAGTTGCATTACCGTCATGCAGCCATTAATCAGTTGGGACAGTACTGAAAGCTATTCCAATTGATCCAGTCCTGGGGAGCAAGAAATAAAAGATGCCCTGACTTACTGTGTGGACTCTGTTGGAGCCAGGCGCTGAATTACTATATTTTTTCCAGCTCTGATTATCTTTCTCCAAATCTGGAGAAGGATGGACGCTTGGAAGAATTGCGTTTTGGACTATAATTCCCAGAATCCTCAAGGTCCCATTGACAGTGGCCATGTAGTCTTATGAAACTGTGGGAGGTGTAATCCAAAAGTGTAAATCTTCCAAGCTTTGTTTCTGATTCCATTAAATCAGGGGTCCTCAAACTAAGGCCTGGGGGCCGGATACAGCCCTCCAATGTCATTTACCCGGCCCTCGCTCAGGGTCAACCTAAGTCTGAAACAACTTGAAATCGCACAACAACAACAACAATCCTATCTCATCAGCCAAAAGGAGGCCCACACTTCTCATTGAAATAATAATGAGTTTATACTAGTTAAATTGTCTTCATTTTAATTATTGTATTGTTTTAAAGTGATTTTTGCACTACCAATAAGATATGTGCAGTGTGCATAGGAATTAATTTATGTTTTTTTTTTCAAATTATAATCTGATCCTCCAACAGTTTGAGGGACTGTGACGTGGCCCTCTGTTTAAAAAGTTTGTGGACCCCCGCATTAAATTAATTGCCCCCCGTTATCAATTGTTTTGTTACTTCAAGTAACTTGTTGAGATTAACTTCACAATTCAGCAGCAGAACAGTTGCACAACTTCAGCGCTTTCCAGTAGCTTCTTCCTGCACAGTATTTTCAGTCAACTGCTCCCACAGCCTGCAGTCACGCTGGAACCTTTTACAGACACTTGAGCACATGCCCGGCCATTGTCAGTTTTACCATTGTCCTTCCTCCAGTCTAGATGATATTACAAGCTTACCACAGCACACAGTTATATCTTGTCTTCGGCGAACAACATCACAGCACAAGGAGAAATATACACTGTACATGACTTCCTTATATACAATTCATTTACACATAGCAATCACTGATTGGTTCCCAGCTCATTGACTTAACTCAGACCCAGGATTACATCATTCACAATCACCTGGACTAGGCCAGAACACATTCCCCAAATGAAGTTCTATACAAAGTTAATGCATGACTCAGCATTTCCAATAGAAGCCCATTAGCAGTGCATGACTCAGCTATATTATATTACAATACATTGTAAAAAAATAACTTTAATATATCCCCTCAGTATCTCAGGGCCCTTCCAGACAGGCCCTATCTGATCCCAGGTTTTCTGCTTTAAACTGGATTATATGAGTCCACACTGCCAGATAATCTGGGATAAACAGAAAGCTTGGGATCGGATCCTGGGGTATAGTGCCTCCCTGAGAAAAGGGTTTCCCTTCAGAACACCTTACATAATATCTCTGTAATGTCAAATTACAATTACAATAAACATTGCTAACATTAATAGCATACACTTGGGGTTCTTAAAGCATATGTAACAGAACTTCACTGGTTTAATCACCATTACATCAGCTCGGAATTCTGGGAAATAATGTTATAGGACTTTGGTAGAAATATTTAAAGGACTGCTCAGTATTACTATGAAACTATCACTCCCACCATCCTTTCTAGGTAACTTTCTAGAAATGATTTACTGTATTTTTCTGGTGTATAAGACTACTTTTTAACCCAAGAAAATCTCCCCAAAAGTCAGGGGTCGTCTTATACGCCGGGAGTCGTCTTACAGAGCAGGTCCAATCCAGATTGGAGAATCTGTGATTGCCGCATATGGGGGGGGGGAGGGGGGGCTCAAAACTGGCAATGGCCACATCCCTGCTGTATGCAGCGACTGTATGAAAGCATTAAGGACGACACTGTACAAGTATGGTAGAAGAAAATCCATTAATCAGAATTCGTGGACTTACTGCTGTCCCGATGGTGAGGTGAAGAGGTGCCTCACGGGGAAGCTGAAGGGCGGAGCAAGCTACAGCTGCGCCCGTACCTTGGGAAGTCTGACTTGGCCACGGTGGTCCACGCTCTGGTTACATCCCGTTTAGACTACTGCAACGCTCTCTACGTGGGGTTGCCTCTGAAGACTGCCCGGAGGCTTCAATCAGTCCAACGAGCGGCAGCCAGATTGCTAATAGGAGCGGGGTACAGAGACCATACGACCCTCTGTTATGCCAGCTCCACTGGCTGCTGATTAGCTTCCGAGCACAATTCAAAGTGCTGGTTTTGACCTATAAAGCCCTAAACGACTCCGGCCCAGTTTACCTGTCCGAACAGATTCTCCCCTATGAACCATCAAGGTTACTAAGATCTTCTGGAAGGGCCCTGCTCTCAGTCCCACCACTTTCACAATCGCGTTTGGTGGGAACGAGGGACAGGGCCTTCTTGGTGGTGGCTCCTCGGCTTTGGAATTCCCTCCCACAAGAGATTAGGTCTGCTCCCTCCCTCCTGACCTTTAGAAAACTAACAAAAACCTGGCTTTGGAATATGGCATTTGAGGATTGAGTCGATAACCCTCGTCACATGAATTGAGATTTTATTGACGACTTGGCTTGTGTAATGTGATTATGATGTTTTATTGTACTTATATTTTAATGTGTAATGATGATGCACTGTGCTGTTTTGCATATTACTGTATATGAACACATGTTGTGAACCGGCCTGAGTCCCTCCTTGGAGGTGAAAAGACCGGTATATAAAACTTCTAAATAAATAAATAATAATAAATAAATACAGGCATCCGGGACACCCGGGGTATGGAAAAAAGAGATAGAGTGGCTCTGGGCCCAGAAAAACACACCTCTTTTACCTATCTGGCCTGCCCTTGTATCCTATTACCGTACCTCCTCCTCTGCCTCTCAGATATTGCTCCTGAAGACTGCAGTGAAGTGGTGCAGGTGCACATGTGTGAGATCTGAGAGGCAGAGAAGGAAGTACAGTAATACGAAAATTACCATATTGAAATAAAATCTGATGCTTTAATTTTTTTTATTTGGTGTGCATTGGAAGAGGGGTAGTCTTATACGGTGAATATATCCCAAACTCTATATTTTAACATGAAAAGTTGGGGGTCATCTTATACGTCCAGTCGTCTTATATGCCGGAAAATATGGTACTAGGTATTTTATCCATTTTCTTCTAGTTTTGATACTCCATGTGCAGGGATGGGACACTTATTGTCAGTTATGAGCCAAATCCAGCATATATTTTTCAAATCTGAAGTGCTAAAAGGATGGAGCAAGTCCCAGAGTGGTTAAGGTAGCATTGCAGTAAGAAGATATACCTATCTTGTCTTCAAACATGAGTTCAGCCAAAACCATCACAGCTTGGCCTAAGGGTGGGGAGAGGGAGATGACTTTTTATGGGGAAGATATACTGAGTTATTTAATTAGTTTTTGAAGTATGGGTTTCAACCATTACAATGTGTATGTCAAAAAATTGTTTTAGAATGTACTTTTGAAAAAAGTAATTCAACTCCTTGCTTTCAAACTGTGTCATAGACAAGTTTAAAGGTGCTATGTATTTTCTATCATTGATGAGAAGGAAAGCCGAATAAATAATGGACTCCAATGGTTCAAGAAGGCTGCCATGTTTATTTCTTAGTTCTGCTTCTCATTCTAGAAAATGGAGAAAAATTGTGGGGGGGGGGGGGGAATCAACCTGAATATTTAATAAAGGGAGGTAGCCAAGAAATGGATTGTGATTGTAGTAACGCCCAAGAACCTATCTGTTTCATTAACTGAGACACATTTATATACAGTATAATAATATTTGTCATATTGTTTTAATTCCAGCAGGAGACACCATACAAATAGAAATGGTGTAAACCAGGGACCCACAAAATTTTAAAGCTGAGGGCCTGTTCACGGTCGATCAGACTGTTGCAGGGGCTGCACTATAGTTTGCAAAAAAAAATGAAGGAATTTCCACGCACACTGAAAATATCTTATTCCTAGTGCAAAAAATTATTAAAGACCAATACAATATTTAAAATGTAGAACAATTCTAACCAACATAAACTTACCAGCAAGACCAACCACCTGCTCCCTCGATCCTTGCCCCTCCCTGTTGGTTAAGGAGTGCTGGAAGGGACTACAAGATCCCTTAAGGAGCATCATCAACAGCTCCTTGGAGCAAGGAATTTTTCCAGATTGCCTTAAAGAAGCAGTGGTCCACCCTCTCTTGAAAAAACCAAGCCTAGACGCCGCCATACCTAGTAACTATCGCCCAGTTTCAAACCTTCCATTTTTGGGCAAGGTGATTGAACGGAAGTGGCGGGGCAGCTACAGCAATTCTTAGAGGAGACTGCGGGTTTGGACCCCTTTCAATCAGGCTTTCGTTCAGGTCATGGGACAGAGACTGTCTTGGTAGCTATTACTGACGAAATTCGTCGTCAGACCGAGGCGGATCAGCGCTATTGGTACTCTTGGACCTCACAGCTGCATTCGACACCGTGAACTATTACTTGCTGATTCATTGATTGGCTATTTCTGGTGTACGAGGTTTAGCCCTGAAATGGTTCAGTTTGTTCCTCCGGGACCGGAGACAGAGGGTGGAGTGGTTACTCTCAGGCAGGCTCTGAGAGTTCCTGCCTTTGCTGTGAAGTTCCCCAGGGTGCTATCCTCTCGCCCCTGTTATTTAACATCTACGTCCGGCCACTTGCTGGACTGGTGCGGAGCTTTGGCATAGAGTGCTACCAGTATGCAGATGATACCCAGCTACTCTTGCGTCTCGAACCTGGGACAACCACGATTCCTGAGAACTTTAGGCTGTGTTTGGAAGCAGTGATGAGTTGGCTGAGAGCGAGCAGACTAAAAGTGAATCCTGCAAAAACTGAGATACTCTGGCCCAGCCAGCCGCCAGAATTAATCCAGTCTCTGCCTGATTTCGATGGGGAAGTTCTGGTTCCGTCTTCCACTGTTAAAAGCCTTGGGGTTGTGTTGGACTCATCGCTGACGATGGAGGCCTAGATCTCTGCCATAAGTAAGCAGGCCTTTTTTCATCTTCGCCAGGCAAGGAAATTGGCATCCTACTTTTCGGTAGAAGCATTGGCAACGGTAATCCACGCAACAGTCACCACGAGGTTGGACTATTGCAATGCCTTATATGCCGGCCTTCTGAAGTCAACAACTCAGAAGATTCGGATGGTCCAAAATGTGGCAGCCAGGCTGCTAGCGGGATCATCTATAAGATCCCATATTACACCGATTCTACAACAACTGCATTGGCTACCAATAGAACATCGGATCTCTTACAAGATACTGATCCTGACATTTAGAGCTCAAAATGGCCAAGGACCTTTATATCTTAGGGACCGCCTCATTCCTTTTTCCCATCAGTGGTTACCTTGAGCCACCCAAGAAAATCTCCTATATATACCAGGCCCTAGGGAGGTACACCTGGAAGCTACACGGCGTAGAGATTTTTCGATCTATGCTCCAATTCTGTGGAACTCATTGCCTCCATATATTAGAGCAATGTCGGAGTTGCAACCTTTTGTAAAGGCACTCAAGACTTGGCTGTTTGGTTGTGCATTTAAGTAAAGTTATCAGATCTAATTTGCCAAATAGTCACTGTTGTATGTTTTTATGTTGAATGTTTTTATATTGTGTAAATGCTATTTTAGATTGTAAGTCGCTCGGAGCACCTTGGTGGAGAGTGACTAATTAAGAAATAAAGTGAAGTGAAGTGAAGTGAAGAGAGGGGGTGGTGAAAAAGAGTGAAAGGTAAAAAAAAAACTGTCAAAAGGTACTTTCCATGACCAAAAAACCCCCTTGTATTACTTGAGTATAAAGGTTTGCAAAAAGCCAGAGGTGCGCAGCAGTCTGCGGAAGCAATTGCAGAAGTGCTGTCTGTTCACCTCATGCTGATCAACTTGAGTAAACGGTGCCTTACCTGAACCTATTGGACTCTGTGGATTTCTTCAAAAAGGC